GTAATGTCATAATCAAATCAACTTTAATGCTCTATTGATTATTGAACTTCCAAGTGCTCAACCCACAGTAGCTTATATTGTGCGAAAGTCACTAAAAATAAATAAATCATAAGTGGGATACTTAAAAATGTTTTTTTTCACCAACCAACAGTGAAGGCTGAAGCTCTGTATATGCCTCTTGAAACCTGTTACAAATATAGAGATGAAAATAGCTCATATACACATGACCTGCCAGTAATTAGAATGAAAATGTCAATAATGATATGATATTTCCCACCTGTATTTGATATAACACATATCATATATTAATATGTAATGGTGAGAATTATTCCATGTAATATGATATTAATATTGACATTATATATAATATAAACCACTAGAGAACTGAATATTATATACATTGTAAATGATACATAAACCATTTTTGGTGCTAGCTTTCTGTCATAGTTGTTCTGCCCGATATTTATACTTGTTAAAAAATATCAAGATACAATTTATTTGTACCTAAAATTATTTCTAGGCCTGTGAAAATCTCTCACTGATTGACTGGATTCTGTGAGTGCAGCTATTTATATAGACTGGCACTCTCTCACACTTTGTTAACTTGGCCTGTATTTTATTTTTTAAATTTGCATTTTTATACGCCCACATTGAATTGTGGTCATAATTACTGCCAGAGTTATGTCTCTTGATCAATTTGAAAAATCTTTTGGACGTTCTAGAGGCTAAAATTAACATCCGTTCCACTTTAAATTGATACAGTGTTTATGGTCATGAGATGAAGATGCCTATTGATTTTCAATGATTTCTGCTAATTACTGCCAGAGTTATGGCCCTTGATCACTTCAAAAAATCTTGTGGACGCTCTAGAGGCCAAAGTTAATATCCAATTGACTTTAAATTTATACACAGTGTTTAAGGTTATGAGACGAAGAATCCTATTGATTTCCAATGATTTCTGCTAATTACTGTCAGAGTTATGGCCCTTGATCACTTTGAAATATCTTGTGGATACCCTGTAGGGCAAAGTTAATATCCGATTGACTTTAAATTTATACACAGTGTTTAAGGTCATGAGACAAAGGATCCTAGTCATTTTCAGTGATATCCAGTCATTACTGCCAGAGTTATATCCGTTGATTACTTTGAAGAATCTTGTTGATGCTCTACAGTCATAGAGGGGTTGAATGTCCGAATGATTAGCGTGTACGCGCTGTATCATAAGGTCTGTCATTGAGTCAGCTGGTGTGGTTTTGATTCCCCAGTTGTGCATAACAAGGAGTAGGGTCGCCTGTCCAACCTTGTGGGTTTTCTCTGGATCATCCGGTTTCCTCTCACTGCTGAAGACCCCTACGTGCAAGCAAATTAGTGAAATAAATTTGAACAGTATGTTAGTCCCAAAATGACCTAGTTAAGATCTTTTGGATGCTCTAGAGGTTAAAGTTAATGTCCGCTTGTGGACACTCGAGAGGTTAAAGTTAATATAAATTGTTTAAGGTCATGAGACAAACAATCAAAACAAATTCTAATCAGATTTTCATGTGATGTAAATGTTCTGATTACTGACAAAAGAAAAAATATGCAACAACCCTTGTTGACCGCTCAGACCACTTAGCTGCCTTGAACGTATATTTCGTTGCCTGATAGCCTATCTTTAGGTTTATCAGGAATTGATTTGTTAGTTTGCATCCTCTTTATAAGTGTATAGCTGTATTAAAATATATCAAGTTTAGTCACTCCATAACATACATATTTTTTTACCCATTTAAATATATTTGTATATTAAAATCTATAACAGCTGTTATTGGTACATTGCATGTATCTAAAATAATTTCTATATCTATTGCTAAAGCTTATATAAACAAGTTATTTTATGTAGAATACAGCACAAAATATTCATATGTAATAATATAACCAGCCAGGCAAGGAAAACATTTGCTTTTATAAGAATTTATTGATTTTATATAATTTTTGTTTTAAAATTTGGTATTATTTAAAGAGCAGTATCTCTGTCAAAAAGAAAATAATTCATTATTAAACACCCACATTTAAGTTAGCTTTAACTTGAATTACTGCTGGTGAACTGGTGAACTGCAGAGCTTGAAAGCCTGTTTAATGCTTGAGTTGATAAAAATAGAAGAATGACTAAGTAACAAGGATAATAGTTAATATTATTTATAATATGAGGAAGAGTGCTTGACACAATGACAACATGTAATATTTGTAATATATTACTCTATTGTTTACACAGTTGTTATTATAATTTCATGTGTGATGAACAAACTAAAACAACAGGTAGACTGAATTGTTTTTGCATTGACTATGAGACAAAATAATGGTTTAAAGATGGGTTCCCCGAAAAGTATTTATCAGGTGGTTATTTCCAATAAAAGTATGGTGATTTTGATATATATGGAAAGTGGAGATATCCAATCTTACTAGAAAAATACTGGATTCCCCGAAAAACACTCATGGAGCGTATACAGGACAAAAATGTAGGGGTTCCCCTAATCAACAGCCCGACGATTAGGAATTTCTGCACGCGTGATGTCAAAGGTCACACAGGTACAAGTTGATAAACTTTATGAAGAGTTAGATGTAAAACACTTTCTGAGATAAAAATGACGGAAAAAGACGCGGGTAGTGGATAATCCAAGAATTTAATTAGGATTTGATATTTGTAATAAATAGTAAGCGATTAAAGACAACATCGTCTTATGTATGCAATGAATTCTCCTCTGACTTCCAAGAGAGTTGCTAAGGTCTAAATATGGTGATTATGCTCCAATATATACAGATGGTTCGAAAGATGGTGATCGGGTAGCTTCGGCTACTGTGACACCATCTGAGACAATTTCTGTCCGCCTTCCACCTGCTTCTTCCATCTTTACAGCTGAACTCCAGGCCATTCTACAGGCCTTGGAGTTCATTCAATCATCATCTATATTTAAATATATAATATTTACTGATTCTTTGTCCGCCCTACAAGCAATAAACAACAAACAGCTTGATCACCCATTAGTGGCAGACATTTATCGTCTGCTACTATCATTCGAGTGTACCAGCAAGGACATTGGCCTTTGCTGGCTCCCCAGTCATATGGATATCAAAGAGAACGATCAAGCAGACTCGGCTGCCAAGTCTGCCTTAGATCTTCCCATATCTGAATTTTTAACGCCATATAAAGATTTTAAATTTATTATAAATAATTTCATTTATGGCCGCTGGCAACGGTCTTGGGATCTTGCAGGCACAAATAAACTTCATCACATTAAGCCTGTTTTAGGAGATTGGCCAAGCTCCTATAGAACCAGCAGGAGTTATGAAGTTGTTTTGTGCCGCTCTCGCATTGGTCATACTTTTTTAACTCATATTTTCATTTTAAAGCAAGAGCCTCAACCAGAATGTGAACACTGTCATGTTCCTTTGACAGTTAAGCACATTTTGATTGAGTGCAAGCATTTCAAGGATATTAGATTAAATTTTTACCGTTGTCAGTCACTACAGCACATGTTTGCCCAACCGGGTTTATATGGTAAAATGTTAGACTTTTTAAAGGAGACAGGTTTTTATAATTAATTTTAATTGTATATATATATATATATATATATATATATATATATATATATATATATATATCATTTCATTTTTGTATTTAATATTTATATGCATAAAAGTTGTATTTTATTTTTAATTTTATTAACTGTGATATTGTTTTTATTTATGCATATAATGTTTTTCTGTGATATAGTTTAGCCTGTCTTTTAATTTTCACCATATGTTTGGCGCAATATAGCCCGGTTGGAGCTGACGTGCCATAAAACCACATTTCATTTCATTTCCAAGAGAGTTAAAGGACAAAAATGGTGCCAGTCATTATCACATATGTAATAGAACTGGTTAAACACGTTCCAAATATTATTTTTTCACAGAGATCATTGCTACGATAGATGAGTAATCAATGTTTCAACAATAGGAAGTGACGAACGCAAAAGGAAAACACAAGTTATCCCTCTATAAAACTGACTGAAGTGACGGGTGATAACAGATACATGGGCGAATTTCTGCTCACTAATAATTCCTTCAAAGACCAAAAGTTGTAGTTTGGTGATAATTTGAATATCACCCATTAATTGACTCCAAGTAGTTGTACTTGAACTATAAAACCCCTTCAATAAATGTGTGTACTGAATACGCCGATCAAGTCAGAATTCAGATTTGTTTTCGGGAAGAATTGTACTGTTAATGTCTCTGAATTTTATGTAATTAGTAGTACAAATTACATATAATTGCCATGTAGAGTTTTCATACATTTATCTGTGCTCTAATATCCTAAAGATACGTTCCCGGAAAAGTATTTATCGGGTGGTTATTTCCAATAAAAGTATTTCAGTTTTGGTATATATGGAAAGTAGAAATATCTAATCTTACTAGAAAAATACTTGATTCCCTGAAAAACTCTCATGGGGCACATACAGGACAAAAATGTAAAAGTTCCCCCTAATCGGCAGTCCGACGATTAGGAATGTCTGCTAGTGTGATGTCAAAGGTTGCATGCGGAGATTGAGCGCTTGATTTACATGTTAATAAACTTTATTAAGAGTTAAACGTAAAACACTTTCTGGATAAAAATCATGGAAAAATACGTGGGCAGTGGATAATCGAAGAATTTAATTAGGCTTTGATATTTATGATAAATGGATAGCGATTAAAGACAACATCATCTTGTGTATGCAATGAATTCTCCTCCAACTTCGCACCCGTTGCCAGTTAATTCGTCAGCGAAGTCATGTGACATAACGCATCTTTTAATAGATTTTTTTATAGCTGGGGTATTCCCTCGCATAAACAGTGTTTTGAGAAGGATATGGAGCAAAATTTTGATATATTAATTAATTTGAATATGTTTCTAGTCCAAATACATCATCAAATCACCCAGTTTGTACACAGGAACGCATCTTTAAATACATTGAAAGATATTGTGTTCATTATGCTTTCAGATCATGTACAGATATAATATGTTGTATTATATTCATTATCTTCATTATTGGCATGATAGCATGCTCAATATTTGGTAAGTACAGACAGAATTTTTTTCCTGGCATCAAACTTTAACCTCATTGCAGCAGAACATTGATACTAATAGTCCTTTTCTATATTTAAATTTAATATAAAATAAAAGCTGATACATGTTCTTTAGATAGTAGTCTAGATGATTACATCGAAGGCGATTAAATCGAAAGAATAGGTTAGAATTAGATTACATTTATAGAATCAAGTTGTACTTCAATAGCTGGCTGACATTCTAAGACAGAAAGTCCCAAGTTCGATCACAGTGTTGGCCTATGAAGTTCCTCTGGCCTTTGCAGCATGGCTTCCTTTGTCAGTGATATTGCAAAAAGCGGCTGGCAAGGAACATTGTTTAGTCATTGACATAGGAAGTGGCTTGGGACTTTCCGGCATAGCTTCATTTGTCAGTTGTGTACCAAGGGGGTACTGGCAAGGAACAGCTTCTAGTTGTTTGGATGGGATAAAAAAAAATGAAGTTCAATGTACACGTTGGTGTGCACATAAAAATAAAGAACCCTTTATAGTGACAAAGTGTAGCCAGAAAAGTTACCCAGATTACCCTCATGGCACAATGATTTGCATATAGGCCGGTCTTCATTAGCTTTGTTGGTGCCTGAGGATTGGATGGCCAAATGGTTAGCATGTATCATGAGGTCTGTCATTGAGTCAACTGGTGTGGTTTCTATTCCCAAGTTGTACGTGACAAGGAGTAGGGTCGCCTGTCCAACCTCATGTGTTTTCTCCAGGTCCTTTGGTTTCCTCCCACTGCTAAAGAACCCTATGCACAAGCGAATTATTGAAATAAAATTGAACCATATGTTAGTCACAAAATGACCCAATTTGTATTAATTGGACTATTGGAGGTTAACTCTCTCTCTCTCTCTGTCTCTCTCTCTGTTTAATGTATTCTACCACCTATATTGGTTGGTGCCTTTAAGTAAAGCTATTGGGTGTGAGGAGGGTGGATTAGATTGATAGTCATGTTTTCTAAACTGTATTTTTTCTCTCCTGATTGCGAAGTTTAAGCTGTGTTAATGCAATAAGATTTTTTTATTCCCCAAATAACCTGGTTCTGTTTGCTGTCAATAAACTGTATACAATTGATTCAAACTGGATATTTTGAAAAATGATTACTTATTTTGCCCCTTTAATACATTTAGATGCATAAGTTGAAATTAATTTGCAAGTCCAGAGTAATGATTTCAAATTTGATATTTCAGCATATTCTCGTGGAGATCCATATCGATTGATTCACCCAACTGATTCTCAAGGTAGAATATGTGGAAGGGGTGAATTACAGTAAGTATTAATATTTCACTATCATAGAATGGATAATATACATACAGTCTATTTAATTCATGAATTTTCCGAAAAACTTGCAAATTAGATTTCAGTGAAACCCTCCTCAGTAGCACTGTCCAAAAGATCTATAACTAGATCAGTGTTTGAGAAAAACAAAGGCACAGATTCGCAGATCTCAACCCAAATCGCTCCAAAACACAAACTTCAATTTTGATGTTTTAACTTTTATTCATATTGATATTTGTAAATTTCAAGCTATGTATGACTTTTTGCCTGATATTATAAGATTCTGACTATGATTTTGATGAAATTAATATCAAACTCTTATTCACATACTTTCTTTTGAATTTACTTTCAGAATTATTGAAATACTCAATGCTTGATTAGTTTTGAAAAATTATATGTTCATGGTATTGAAATGTCAGGAATAAATTGTTGTTTCTCTTTTTTTTTCAGGAATAAACCGAACCTGTTTTTCTTTGATTTATTACAATGTGCCAAATTAGGAATTGCTGTTGTTGCTGGCTGTCCCACTCCACAGGTAGATTTAACTTAATTCTTAACATACTTTGGGTTAGATAATCCTCACCAAATATTTGTAGTTTATTAGATCATGCCGGAAACTACTTCACAAGAAAATAAAGATACCAAAACAAAACTATGGTCATTAAATTAAGAATCCAGGATCCCACTTAGATGGTATCTGGTGTTCGGGAGGGAGTAAACATTAACTGTTTCATCCACAGCGTTTGTGCACCATAGACTCCTTTTATGCACGTACATTGAGATGTGATAATTCATAGAGTACAATGTGTTGCCTCTTTCTAGTGATTGGAAGTTTCTCACATTGAAATGTGGTGGTATATTGGGGTCATCCTCATCCATCTATCCGTTGTTCACAATTGGTGGGACCCATTAACATATGAATATTTTTAATATTCAGGTGTGTGTAGAAAATTGCCCTAGTAGTAATTATGTTTACCGAGAAGCAGAACTAGATGACAAGAAGAGGAAAATGGCTATTTGTGATTATGGTATTGATCCAACAAAGGTAGGTCATACTTTCATTTCTTTTCTATTCTTAAAAGTTATCATGATTATTTCAAACTAATTAAAACTTGAATATAGAAAACAATTCTTTTTTTTAGCCACAGTCGTAAGATTGATTCTATATTTTTTTATTTTTTTTTATCACTGTAGGGTTCGTATGAGGATTATAAGAACTTGGTGAAGACAGAGAAATGTGCTGCTTATCACATAAATTCTACCAACAGTAAGTTTACAAATGATCTTGATAGGAATAGCTACACATCTTGTTTTGTTATTATATTATTTACAATGAATATTGTATTGTAACTATAGTATTTTCAATAAGAATTGTATTGTTATTATAGTACATGTATTTGTAATAATCATTGTTTTGTTATTATAGTATTTATAATAATCATTGTTTTGTTGTTACATTATATTATTTGTTTTGTTTTATTTTAGTATTTGGTCGTTGTATACCGTCAGTATTTGGTCAACTACTAAATCAAACAACAGCAATTGTATCAGATAGTGGTGAATCGACAGAGAATAAAGATGGAGAATCAGTTACAGGAGTTAACTTACGAGATGGAGTCAAGTTAGTTTTATCAAATAATCTTTAGATATCATAATGAGTGATTTGGTCAATATACTAAAGAGGCCATATTCTACTGAGTGTTTGGATCTTTTGTATTAATCATCAGATACATTTTGGAATTAGATACTTCAAAATGAACATATTTAGTTCAGTTTGAATTCACAATTAGACTGTTCTCCATTCCATTTTAAACACTCAATTTGTGAAAACATAACGACTTCTGTTTCTGTGTAGTTAATTAAGGTATGTACTATGAAAATGTAATATATTGTTGTTTTTTTATATAATTGTAGACATCTAGCCAATTTTTATAAAGTTAAACAATACGGAGAAAGAGTGTTTGAAGATATCACAGCATCATGGTACACAATATTGATGTAAGTACCGGAACCTGGTTGTTACAATCAACTTGTAATAATGTTTACACTGTCCTTGAATTAAATTACATACAAAGAAATTTACTCTGTTATGAAAATATATCTTCTACTAAATAAAATCAGCCCAAATGATTAAGACCTGTAGTTATTACTCTGTCCACATCACTGTCAACAGCTTCCACTTTAAAATTTTTGATAATGCATAAAGACTTTGCAAATTAAATCAAAATTTCATGTTTAAATCACTTTGTTAGTTTTAAAAATACTACTGGTATTATAATTGTTGATTATTGGAATATTAGTCTTTTGGCTATTCACAGAGCTCATATTTTCAATTGTTGTCTTTGATTGAAGAAAAATGCAGAAGTGTTCAAAATGAATTCAGATAAACCATTCCAACATAGCCTACATGTTGTACCTAATGCTCAAGAAAACACATGACTTCAGTAATTTTGAATTGCTTTAATAACTTTGAAATAAAGATCAATAAAATAATTATCCAACTCGTTTGACATTAATGAACTCAGAATCGCAATGAAAGTTTTAATATATATAGAAAGACTTGTCAAAGAAAATGAATTACAAACTAACTTCCAATCTAGCAATAGTTCCCCCATCTAGAATATGATAATATCTGACGGAATGGCCTGTCTGAAATTATATTTTAGTTGATAAAATATGTTTGATGAAATATGTTTTTGGTAAAATGTCAAAGTAATATGACGTACATCTTACAACGTCCCAGCTTTCTGATAATTCTGATGAAATTCATTTGACTATCAGAAGTTTGTTGACATTTTGAAAATGGCCATAAAAGGTACTTAAAATTTTTAACATATCACATTGCTCTGCTACATTTTTTTATTGGATCAGCTACATTTTCCATTGTTTATTTCTTGGTTAAGATAACTTATGCATCACAAAACAGAAAATAACACCACAATTTCTTCAGTAGATAGGTGTACATAATGTTTGGTCTAAGGTTCCAAATTCCATAAAGCAACTGTTAAAAATGGTTTATAAAGATATGTCATGTCATGTAAATTGAAGGAAATGATAGTAGCGAGACACTACAGTCACCGAAGCTACATTCTACAAAACATACATCTTATCCTATATTAAGCAACCACTCTAGAGAAGTAGCTTAATTCTGCTGGTCTCTATACACAGGATGTCATAAAATATGAAAATTTAACTTAACTGTATTAGAATACATGATATACAGATATACAGATTAAATTGTTAATATATGTATATTTTTATTTTTTAGTGGATTTTTTGTAGCGATGGTGGTGTCATTATTATGGACGTTTTTATTACGGTGGATAGTTGGTGTTGTGGTCTGGTTTACAATGATTGCATTTCTTGGAATCTTCGGCTTTGGTACGTATGTATATAGCCTATGGTTTCAAAGTTGATAGTGAAATTGTCCTTTTCTCTCATTCTGATCCCTCTTTTTTTTTAACTAAATGTGGAAACAAGTACAAGCATACTATGGACCTGGAAACAAGCATGACGTCATCGCAGTCATCCTCGAATTGTGACATTAAAAGTCAAAGCCTGTCAAAATCAGTTCACAATTGTCAAAGATTTACAAAGAGTTGCTGGTCCAAAAATTCAGTGTTGTTTGAATGGGAAAATATGAATGTTTAGTGCTTGACATTTAAAACCTTGTAGCTTATTATTATCTCTGTGATGTTGTTTAAATGAAGTCTTTTGGCCATATATGGATATGCCTTAATGTTACGTGATCTGAAACAGAAAATATAAAATTTTGACCCAAATTTTGTAATGTACAATCAATTAAGTGTTGCATAATCATGTTACAATAGGAGTGACTTGTTGTTCATCATGTGTCTTAAAGATACATTATGTAGGAATTAGATAAAGAACTGGTCGTTCTTGTTATAAAATCAATACATAATAGATAAAATAGGTAATATATAGTTATACAATAGGGAAACCATAAGATATATGTTGTTAAAATTGATAATAATTTCAGGAACTTTATTTACCGTGTAATTATTTTCAGGAACATACTACAGTTATAGAAGATATTATGACTTGAAGAATCAGAATTTTACAGAGGAATTTAGTGTCAGAGAAGCTTTTAGTTTTGATATTGACTACTATCTTTCTCTTCAAAAAACATGGCTTGCATTTGGTAGGTTTCATTGTTATAGGCCTACATGTAAATGTTATTGTATATAGTACCCGCCCGTGTGTCCATCCACACTTCTTGTACTCACTCTGGAGATCAATCTGATTAAAATACAGGTCTATATATCGTTTCCTTTTTATACGCCCACATTATAATGTGGTCGTATATAGTTGTCCGTCCGTCTGCGATTTTCAGCGATTTCCAATAATTTGTGACCGAGTTATGGCCCTTGATCACTTTGAAAAATCTTGTGGATGCTCTAGAGGCTAAAGTTAATATCCGATTAACTTTAAATTGATACACAGTATTTAAGGTCATGAGACGAAGAAGCCTATTGATTTTCAGCGATTTCCGATAATTACTGCCAGTGTTATGGCCCTTGATCACTTTGAAAAATATTGTGGACGCTCTAGAGGCTAAAGTTAATATCCGATTGACTTTAAATTGATACACAGCGTTTAAGGTCGTGTGACGAAGAATCCTATTGATTTTCAGCGATTTCCAATAATTTTTGCCAGAGTTATGACCCTTGATCACTTTGAAAAATCTTGTGGACGCTCTAGAGGCTAAAGTTAATATCCGATTGACTTTAAATTTATACACAGTGTTTAAGGTTTTGAGAGGAACAAGTATATTGATTTTCAATGAATCTTTATGACTTGAACAGCTATATCCATGATGTTAAAAGTTTCGTATACTAAATGTTAGCATGGGGCAGAACTTTATAAAAAGCAAACAAATTCTAATGGTTTTCTTGAAATGAAATTGAACCATATGTTAGTCTCAAAATGACCTAGTTTGTGTTGAGTGGATGTTAAACCCTATTTCTCTCTCTCTCTCTCTCTCTCCCTCTCTCTCTCTCTCTCTCACACATATTGTGAAGACAAGTAAAATGAAATTTTGAACATTAAAAACGAAACTAAATAAGATCTGTGTTTTAGTCAGATTGTCTGCAGGCTTTGTATGGGCTGAAAGATGATACCTATGAATTTTGAAGATTATCACAAAAGTAGTTGCAGAGTTATTGCCACTGATTGTTGATCAAAGTATACTCCTGAACTTGTACTTACTCTACAGAATATACACTATAGTTCTCATCTGACGTAGGGTCACCTGTCCAACCTCATGGGTTTTCTCCGCTTTCCTCCCACTGCTAAAGACCCTACGCGCAAGCAAATTATTGAAATGACCTAGTTTGTGTCGAGTGGACGTTAAACCCCATTTCTCTATCTGTCTTTCTCATCTGACTGTCACAGAATTTACAGAAATGGTTCGTACTTGGACAAAGAGTATCCCTGTTGATTTTGAGAATTTTTGCAAAACAGTTCAAGAGCTGTATGTATGTTATATGGCTCTGAGAATTATTTATTAAGTTATTATTCCTTTTATTTCCAAGTGGCTAAATTGCTTTCTTTTGTTCTGTCTAATTAAACAGTGAGAGTGGGGTAGACTATACATGTCAAGACACTAAACATAATATTATTATATTATTATTATTATTTCAGGTTGTACGTCGGCTACAGTTTTGATCATATTTATTTTAGTTTTGATTTTCTTGGCTAAGAGAATTTGTATTGCTATTGAATTGATTAAAGAAGGCAGCAAGTAAGTCTTGTTTCCCTGCTCCAAACAAAGTTAGGGAGGGATATTGAAATGGGTCCGTTCGTGTGTCAGTCCGTCTGGCCCAATTTTTTTTCTGGGGCATATCTCATAAACTGTTCAAGATATCTTTTACGATTTTTGACAATATGTAAAGATAAAGGACCTGCATGACATATACTACCACAACTGGACAAGACGACACAAAATGGCACAGATGAGCCACATGATTGTACATCTATGCCATAATCTTACCTCATTTACTTAAAATTCCACCCATCAAATTTCAAATATCATCTCCACTTCGGCCAACAAAATTTAACTTGTTGGTTCTCCAGGATCATTGTACTTTCTGACAAGAATGTTTCCATAATAACATTATGACGTCGTGATGAAATAATTCCACGGTTTGTTGCTTGGCAACCTAAGGTTTATAATTCTATGTAATTTACAAATTGTTTTGTTTATTTTCAGGGCTATCGGACAAATGATGTTCACATTGTTATGGCCTATAACTCCATTTCTGCTCCAAATACTTGTCTTTATCTACTGGGGATCAAGTGCCATGTATCCTTTTACTACATTTTAGTGAGCCCCATTGTTGGCCAAGAAAGTTCCTCAGGATTTCCATTGTGGTTTCCCCTGTCAGTAGTGCAGGATAGGGAGCCTGACAAGGAGCAGTAGTGTCTAGTCATTTGGATGGGACAGAAAACTGAGGTCCTCTGTACACTTTGTGTCCACGTAACAGAACCGTTGACAGTTGGAATTCGAAATAAGAGTATGCCCAAGTGTTGTTGTGCATGCAGATTTTCCCTCATAGCACCATTAAAAATCATTTCTTTTCATTTAATCTTTTACGATGATTATAGTTTTTGTATGATTGTATTCAACAGAACAAAATGTCAGACAATCATATAATTTAGGAGTGGTGAAATTAATCACTTTAAATTATATTTAGATTAAATTAATTTCAGTAATGAACCTTAATACTATATGTAGGTATATTGCATCTATGGGACCAGCAGAATATGTTGTTAATGAAACTCAAACACAGGAAGGTGTTGATTTTGTTTTACAAAAATTGCCTTGCCAAGCTTCTGTAAGTTTTATTTTGTGATTTTTTGCGAAATTAATAATCTTGCTACTTCAACAATCAGTCTTATGGAAATAACTAAGAATATAAAACTGGTGAAAGAGAAGAGAGACAGAATATAAAATATCTCATTTTTTTATGCACTCATATCTTTGTAATGTACATAGCATTATACCAAGGATCAGCCCTGTTTCAAGTTTTAAAAGGATTAACCAATTATTTATTTGGAGAGAAAAGTTATAAAGGAATTTATCTGAAACTTGTATGGTTTAATCATTATATCATGGACCAAAAAAGTTACAATGCAATAGATTTGTTCCTTGATGGCTTCTTGATATTGACCCTACTTAAAATTAATGGCACAAAAATTATTCACCAATGGTTAGTGGATGTTTATGCTATGCTAGTGTCCAATACTTGTTGATTGACTATAAGAAATCTATTTTTGTTCATATCTCTGATTTTCGTTTCAGCAAAACGATACGAGTGGTAAACTATGTCATTTTGTGAAATATGGAGGAGATGAGTGAGTAAACTACAATACATATTTACTTTCAAATTAAATATAATTTACCATTTCTTAGAACAGGAAATTTATTTGTCTGATAAAAAGGAACTGAAAATAATAAATTAAAATCAATTTCATTTAGGTCAAAATAAAATTTTGGGGTGTTTTGAATTAATTTTAATTAGACAATGCAGCAAGCAGACTGTGATTATGGTGAGGTGGCAGTGAATTTTTAACTATTGTGAATATCTTTAATACATGAGGATTTTAGAGAGATGAATCTTAATATTTTGTTGTTGGTTTTTTTTTTCAATAGGTATTCAATATATATGCAGGCATATATGTTATTTATGTTTTTCTGGTTAATGAACTTTGTTGTGGCCCTGGGAGAAATGGTTTTAGCTGGTGCCTTTGCTTCATATTATTGGGCCTTTGACAAACCAAAAGATATTCCTTCATACCCTCTGTTCAATTCCTTGTACAGAGCCATCAGGTACTTAATTTTAAATACCCCCCAAAATTCTGTCAATGTCTCGTAGAACTCCAAAAAGGAGAATATTTTTTTGCATCTTTTATATCCTTAGAATATAGATAATATTCTTTAATAAGTGTTAGCTTTTTAATAATAGAATAATCAGTGGATATATAACACATTTTATGGATATACTCCCTTACTTAGACATACAGGGCCCTTTATAGTCACCAGTATTTATCTGTGAATATTGCACTTTTGCATGAAAACTGAAAAATTTTCAAAATAATCCAGAAATGGACGACTTCTGCCCAAAATATCTTCGCTTTAAACAGATTGTCAACCTTCCGCCATTCCATGGCTATGATCCCATGGCACAAGAAATCAAAAATAAAAATGTAATTTTAATGTCCAGCTCTGGGAGTACTTTTGTGACTTACACTTACATTATCTTGGTCTTAGGGCACAAAATTCAACACCCAGCTAGAGGAGTGAGGATCGAACACTCAACTGTGTGGTTACAGATTTAATTTGCTTACCATAGTCATTTTTCTCCCCAAACTAATAACCAAATTAAAAATGAAGATTACAGCAACAAAGTTTTGCTTCATTTTTCAATATATTTTATATATTTTATTATATTTTAAATAGATTTCATACAGGATCGTTAGCATTTGGAGCTCTGCTAGTGGCTATTGTACAGATGATACGAGTTGTATTAGAATATATTGATCAGAAACTTAAAAATGCTGAAAATAAGTGTGCTCAATATTGTATGAAGTAAGTACTTGTGTGCACCTAATGTAATTTTCTTGGTGTTTACCGAGAAGAGCCTTTGACATTTCACAAATATTGCCTAGTTATTTGGATATCATTAAAAACTGTTTGCACTTTTAAAAAAAAAACCTTGATAATTTGGAATCAAAGAAATGTTGGTGTCTGGGCAAAGTTCTCTTTCCTAGCATTACATACATGATTATAGAAATAAAAATAAGCACATGTTAGTCTCCAAATGACCAAAGTATTATTCTGACAAGACATTAAACTCCATTCTATTCCTACTGAACAATTTTAAAAAAATCTTAAGTTGAGAACAAGTTTGAATTGATGTTTTTCAGATGTATGAAGTGTTGTTTCTGGTGTTTAGAGAAAATTCTTCGATTTATCAACAAGAATGCTTACATTATGGTTAGTTATACTACTGTACACAAGCACCCCGAAGTAGCATTAGTAAACTTTGAATAAGATGAAGTTTCCCTGTTCTGAAAACCTGACTATTGTATTCTGACATAAACAAAACTTTTTACACAACAGTCATTTTAGAATTGACCAAATTCAGTGAACCAGTGGGTCTTTTGCCCTGAAAAGTTGTCACATATTGACAATATGGGCTACTGTATGCAGGTCTAATTGGGTCTACAAAATAGAATTGTTGATTTCATAGGATTCTGTGGGTTGACATGGAATATTTTATATCTATGGATTAACTCAGGAAGAGGGCTCTAATAGAGGCTATGGTTGTTCCCCAATCCCTATTCAGATAGAAATATTGTTTATATAAAAAAAAGTGTTGTGGTATAACCCAAAAACTAGTAAACAGGCTGAATTCCTCTTAAATCTTTCAAAACAAAAATTTAATGGTATAGAGCATGCACTGTCACTAATTGAGATAAAACATTAGATCAACCAAATTCAATGGTAAATTATTGTTTGTATTATATATTGACATATTTATTTTATCAGATTGCAGTGTATGGTCGTAATTTCTGTACAGCAGCTAAAGATGGCTTCTTCCTTATAATGAGAAACATCGTCAGGTAGATATATTTTCTGTTAAGTAGCTACCGGAAGTTGCACAGGTGGATGTCTTGTATAGTTTGATTTTGATTTCAGAACCAGTCTAGACACTTGTCGTATGTTCTAGAATGTTTCTTTAAATGTTAAAATATTATGCCTCAAAATAATGCAGTATTCGTTATCTGCATCAAATACCACATAAGCAGTACCATTAAATTTATTGTAGAAAACTGTTTATTTTAAATATTAAGTGCATGAGATCCACACTACATGCAAAACAAAACTGATAAGACAAACCTGTGGACAAGACCAAGTACACAGACATTGCAAGCAATAAACAGATATCAAATCAAGTGAATAGATCCCGGGGCCAGTCGTAAGCATTCACTACACTGTACAGTCTTGGGCTTAAACATACATTATGCAAGAACTAAATCTGTCTATTATTGCAGGTCTGTCTTTCTTTAGGCCTGAAATGTTATCTAAATTATTAATTAGACATTAATTAACTTATCCAGACCATAATCAACTCTGAATTGTGAGCCGATTTACAGCATAACTTTCCTTCACGATTTAATGATTAAATGGATAATCGAGACTTTGCTGTTTAGCGTACTGACTTTAGTAATGATGTTTGAAGCTAGGCAGAATTTTCAATCGCTTAGTTCTTGGTTCATAGTGGATCAATTTGATTGAAATTTTCAGCAAATTGCCTTTATTAATTAGACATTAATTAACTGATCCAGGCCTTAATCAACTCTCGATGGCATCAGTTTTCTCCGATATTAAATAGATTAGAATGGTTCAGCGATACTTTGATTTAATCAAATATGGAGGACCGAGACTTAGCTTTGATCAACCAGTACGGTGGTTGAAATTATTGCACACGTCTGTCAAACCTTCAAAGGCTTATATCTTCACTTGCAATAGAGTAATGTGAATGAAATTTTTAAATTATTCATTTTACATCATCTACTTTCAAACTATTATAGCAAGAAATGCTAGTTCGTTATCTAAATCTTACATAATGTATCTTTAATAATTAAGTTAATTAAATTCAAACTATGAGGTCTTAAAAAACAAAAAAGGATAACAAACTTTATTTTGTATTAATTTATCAAAAAGATTTGTGATTGTATTATTTATTTTTATTTATAGGACTGTGGTATTAGATAATGTAACAGATTTCATTTTGTTTATCAGTAAACTTATGATTACATGTGCTATCGGTAAGTTTTAATTGGGTTTTTTTTGTAATATTATGTCATAATTTCTGCTAATAATCTAAAATCAAAATCTCATTTATAACTAAAAATGTATAAATATAGAATACCAACCTATAAATTTTGATAATTACATACTTTTTTATTTTTACCAGGTATTGCTGCTTATTTCTTCTATCAAGCTAAAATACCTGTTTTATCCAGTACTGTGCCTTCCTTAAACTATTACCTCACTCCAGTTATTGTAAGTAATGATTCTATTTACACTTTCTATACATTGTCAGTATATATTTCATTATTGTTCAATGTAAAAGTAGTTCTCCTGGACGACAGTTAGTAAGTAGATTCTAAATAAATCATATTATCAGTGCATTGTTCAGGAATTGAAGAGTGAGTCAGAAACATTTGGTGGAGCATAAGAAAAAATATAATATCTAAGAGCTAAGCTTGTACTTGGCTGTCGAAAAATTAGACTAGTTAACTTACCTTGTCGGGTGAGGGGGGGGATGGAATGGCCTATTGTTAGCGTGTGCGCAATGTATCATAAGGTGACAAGGTCTGCTATCGAGTCAACTGGCGGGTTTTGATTCCCCAGTTGGTAGCCTGTCCAACCATATGGGTTTTCTCTGGCTCCCCCTGTTTCCTCCCACTGCTGAAGAACCCTATGCGCAAGCGAATTATTAAAATAATATTGAACCATATGTTTGTCCCAAAATGACCTAATTTGTGTCGAGTGGACATTAAACCCCATTTCTCTCTCTGTCGTTTACCTTGTCAGAAATCTGAGATGAGCCCAAATATTAATAAATAGTTTTCAATTTATTTGTCTATTCATATATATCTCTGTATGTTAATTCATTTTAGTCTTGCAGCTGAAATCATCAAGGCCATTTTAGTATTATAATTTTGCTATATATATTACAGATATTGGTTGTTGGATCATATCTTATTACCTGTTCATTCTTTGATGTGTATAATATGGCTGTCGATACACTATTCCTTTGTTTCTGTAAGTACACAATTTATAGAACAAATTTTCTCTTTTATCAATAAAGAAAAACATTTGAAGTGGCCTACAAACGTTTTATTTAACTATGCAGTATAATGCAGACAGGTAGGCTGTTAAACCCCATTTCATTTTATGCAATAAAAGATATTTTCCAGTTCCAGAATTCATTTCTCTCAATCCCACAAATGGTGACACAATCTTGTAAACTTCAGAATTTCAAGCAATGAAGCATGCTTAAAACTGGATAAGAAATTATCCTACCATAGCTATATTTGATTACGCCACAGCGGTTATCTGGACTGACATGTGTTATCACTCAATATTGTGTCGCTCGATTGCAATTCCGAATGTTCCTGGCTCACAAGCCAACATCTCCTTTCAGATGAGTCTCAAGATTGATGACTGAGTGAGAGTCTACAAAAATTAGTCTTTGGGAACATACAATTCAATCAAACATTACAAGTAGTAGCATTTTCATGAGGACGTATATTGTCGTCACCCCCATCCGTCCGTCCACAATTGTTTGTGAACAGTTTACAGGTCACAATTTTTATCCGATTTCAATGAAACTTGAAATATAGGTTTATCACCCTAAGATCTCGATTCCTTTCGATATTGACATGTATCGGACTGTAACTTCATGGATTATGGCCCCTGATTGTACGAAAAAATCACATTTGTAGCTTGTGAACACTGTAGAGGTCACAATTTTTATCCAATTTGGTTTAAACTTGAAATGTATGCTTATAACCCAAAGGTCTCGGTTCCTTTCGATATTCGTGCATATCGGAACGTAACTTCCTGAATTATGTCCCCTGATTGGACGAAAAATCGCATTTTTAGCTTGTGGACTCTATAGAGGTCATAATTTTTATCAGATTTAAAAAAACATATTATTATATCACCGTTACACCCTAAGAACGACTGAGTTCGAATTTCGTGAAAATCGGCCCAAAACTGACAGACAAAATCCCAGCCCATCGTTCTCAAATAGCGTAAAAATATTGTATATTAAGGTTGTGGACCCTATAGAGGTCACAATTTTAATCCTATTTTGATGAAACTTGAAATGTAAGTTTATAACCCAAAGATCTCAGTTCCTTTCGATATTCGTGCATACGCGACCGTAACTTCATGAATTATGGCCCCTGATTGTACGAAAAATCGTGTTTTTAGCTTGTGGACCCTATAGAGGTCATAATTTTTATCCGATTTAAAAAAACATATTATTACATCACCGTTACGCCCTAAGGACGGCTGAATTCGAATTTCGTGAAAATTGAAACTTGAAATGTAAGTTTACAATCTGGTTAAAACACAGATCCTATTTCGTTTCGTTTTTATAGTTCAAAATTTCGTTTAACTTATCTTTACTACACTTGGATCTGGAAGAGTTGTTATTTAACTCGTGTTCTGAATTGTGTCGGGGATAAGCCAATGAAACGGTCTGTTACGACGAGCTTTAGGCGGGTTTTTCTCGGAACTGTGGGTAATCCACTAGTAACATCAATGCAGATTGGTTAATCAAATGTCTGACGTCATAGGGTCATAAGTCGGTCTTTTGACCCCTGACGTGACCTATCGCTATACCTTGTCAGATCTTCATGTAGTGTAGGCCATCGAAAGTATAAAAAAACGAAACGAAATATAGATCTGTATTTTAATCAGATTGGTAAGTTTATAACCCAAAGATCTCGGTTTCTGTCGATATTTGCGCATTTCGAATTGTAATTTCCTGAATTATGGCCCTTGATTGTAGGAAAAATCACTTTCGTTTTAGCTTATTCTCTATCCATCTCTCGAAAATGTGGGCGTATCCTGCCTGGCAGCCGCTGGTTAACAATATTGATTTTTGTCTTCCGAACCATTTTGGTATTATAAAAAAAAATATGAATTGTTTTGTTACAGTGGAAGATATTGAAAGAAATGATGGATCAGCAGACAAACCTTACTTCATGAGTAAAGGGTTACAGAAAATACTTCGCAAATCTAACAAAATGAATTAACATTCAATAAAAACAACATAAAGTAGAAAACAGAGTTCTGTACCAAACTTAATAAAGATAACTGTTAAATGGCCAGTATTCTATAGAAAATTTTGTGACAATTCTAATTATGCTTTGATGTTAACAAAATTATATTAAAATATAAACAATTTTTCTATATTAAGAAATTTAAGACCTGGCACATAATGTCCACATCTTAAATCCATTTGCTATTTTATACATAAGTTTTAGTATTGTACAATTATGGTTGACAATTTGTATTCAAGCTGTAGGAAACAATGCACAGATAACCACACTTTTTAAAAGTTAACCTTAATTTATGTTAACCTATAAAATCTTTTAACATACTCGCATGAGAAACAACTTATCAGAAAAGCACAAAATTTAAGATAATTGCATATATAAATAAACAATGTAAAGGCCTTTTAACAAATAAGTTAAATTTATGCATAACTGGGTGTTGAGGTTTTATTTTTGACCTGGGTGTCTTATACAGCCAGAAACTGTAACATACTATAAAGTTTGTAAACAGACTCAAACTCTTTATGCTTTTAAATTGCACTGTTAAGATACTAAGTGAAAATTAAGCTATACAATCAATGAAATAAATAAAAGAAAAAGTGTTTCAATTGATATTTAGTTTAACTGCGGGGTTTTTTTCTAAATTTACTTATTCCCAGCTCTCGACATCTTCCATTTAGGAATTTAAAAATATTCTTGTCTTACAATCAAAATGACTACTAGTATTATTTTCTAGACAATGGATTTTTATGGACAGAAGTATTTTAAAGAATCTCTTTATTATTGTGATGAAATATATTTTTTTTTTTAATACTCCAAATAAATTTTTTAAATTGATTTAGAATTTACAAGTGTTTCATTACAGTGGTTGATGACTCGGCTTCTGTTTACAAGATTTATCTTTTTCTTGATCAAAGTCTCTTGTTATATTCCAATCTTTGATTAAAAGAATATTCCAAGTCGAATGAGTTTAAAGATGGGGGGGGGGGGGCTATTGAAACCAGGTCCGTCTTTTTTCCCTATACTCTATAACACACATCAATATATTATAGTTGTTGTGCCTGTTGCTGATTAGACATTTCTCCATTGAATTATTTGACATGGCTTTTGTGCAAGGACGTAAGATGTTCATGACCAAGTCATTTTGTTACTAAGTGTGTAACATCACCAATAAAATATTTACAAAACTGTGCAAGTCAGATTAAAACAAAAGCTAAGTCATCTTATTACTGTTAGCTGTATTGAGTCATTTGTAAAAATTGTTATAATTTATTTACATAATGTATTGATCAATATTAATCAGTGAATTGATAGTCAGATTTTTATTCTTATTACTCAATATTGAGATTAGTCAGTTTTTAGTATATTCTTATTAAGAAATATAGATGTGGGCCTAATTATACTAATTACTATTAAGCCTCATCATACTGATAAAGATAATTTTGGATGCAAAAATTATAGTTTAATTTCATATCTTATTACTCAATATTGAGATTATCAGAAATTATAATTATAAGAAATAAATATATGTGCCTAATTATACTAATTACCATTAAGCCTCATTTTGGATGCAAAAATCATAGTTTAATTTCTTACCTTATTACGATTATTCAGTTTTTAGTATATACTTATTAAGAAATATATATGAGCCTAATTATACTAACATAAAGATCATTTTGAATGCAAAAATGATAGTTTAATTGCTTATGGAATACATCTTTAACATCACACATTATTTTATATATTTTCAGTAATTTTCTTCTGTCTTCTTTTGAATAGTTATGCAGATCTATATATTTGTATCTTAAATAGATGAAAGCAAAGAAAATGTATTTTTATTCAATTGCTTCAGATTATTCTTATACCATGTTTTGATATATTTGTTTTTCTTCCTTCTGTATATTAAATATATATACTCTTGCTATGATATATTTTTTTTAATATTGATGCTCAGAACATTTTGTCATCGTTTATGTGTCTTTCCTATATTTTTTCAAATTTATTCATATCGTAATATGAAATTTGCATGAGATAAGTAAAGAATTGTTTTTACAAATACGGTATACTTTATTTATTTTTTAACCTTCAATAAGGTATTGAAATACATATATATGTGTATATATTTATATATAATATATAACCTCAGTCTTGCCCTTAAATAAAAAGTTTTAGAAATAATTGTCAGTTTTTGTTGAAATTTATTTTTTAATATTTATGTATTTGAGTTGTAATGTGAACTTTAAATCCTCTAAAACTAGTAATTAATGTGTCATGAAATTAATTCTTATTTAATTGTTAAAAATAAGAAATGCAAAAGGAAATAGATTTAGAAAGACTTGTGGTGGGTGAGATTAACACCTTAATTTCTTATGTTATAGTAGTGGCCTAGTGGGAGTAAATCATTTTTACTAAATCTTAAAATGCTTATGGGTTTGTTTGATTGAAGCAATTCCAACCAAATCTAAATCTGGGTTCCTTTTTAATTTAATTTCTACTCAAATCAAATCACTGACTCTTCATGTAATATGATTGTAGTGTATTGAGTTAAACTCGGAAATAAAAAATACAAGAATTCTTGAATGTAAATATACTTATCAAAAAAATGAACCTTTTTTCAGACTGCATGAAATTATTTAGATGTTGATGGGTGTGTGTTCTTTTGTCTGGCAACCTATATTATCCTTTAAGAGCATAAACGGTTTCAGATTATTTATTGTAAATTTATAAAGTATTGTGAACAAAAAATTGGCTATTGTTTTTGTAAATATAATAATTTGTATTACATTCCTATTTCTATTGTCTTGAATATTTGGAATTTTATTTTTTTATTAATGAAAGAAATGATCTTATGCAACAAGGCAAAATTTAAAGTACCCGACTATTGTTGGTCCTTAGCATAGCTTCCTATTAATTCCACTGCTGGTCTCAGTTGGATATTGTTAAAACTGTTATAAAACTTGTTAACGTTTTATACTAAAAAGTCCTATATACCTTTATCAACTATATTTTGTTTTCTACATGTAGTTAAGGATTACTTTGTTATTCAAAATGTCATAAGATATAGATTTTTTATTGACGGAGTGTTGCAGTTTGACATTGTACCCAGTTTGACTGTGTACCGGTACCTTATTTAAAGATAAACTAATAATAAACAGTTGAGTTGTTGAAAGCTCTCTTACAGGGTGTTTCACAATCTGATTAAAACACAGATCCTATTTCATTTTGTTTTTTATTGTTCAAAAATTTTGTATTATTTGTCTGTACTACACTAGGATCTGGAAGAGTTGTTATATAGCCTGCATTCTGGATGATGTGAGGGATTCGGCAATGTAATGCTTTGCTACAGCGAGTTTTTGGGATGATGTGAACGGAAATGTGGGTAACCCACAACAAACAACACTGATTGGTTAATCCAATGTCTGACGTCATAGAATCAAAAGCCACTCGTAGGACATCTTGCGCGACCTGCCTCTACTGCCGGTCAGATCTCTATGTAATGGAGGATATCAAAAGTATAGAAAAAACGAATCGAAATATAGATTTGTATTTTCATCAGATTGGGTGTTTCATTAAGACAACCAAGAAAACGTTAAGGCCTGTCAATTCTCATCTATTATAAAATATGTTACATACATGGATGTAAATGATGCAATGTCACGAGGTACCAACTAAAATAGTGACACAGATCAAACTCAGAGTTTTAAGTTTTGACTTCAAGTCAAATGATTTTTTGTAATGTATATTTGAGTTATAGGTGAATTTTGGTTAGCTTTGGGGATTTTTTTGCAAAATATTTTACTTCTTATTACTATATTGATATACTAATGTTGTGAATGAACCTTATTATTGTAGTAATGGCCAATATATAATCTGTTGAGTTTATGTGTAATAAATAGAATTCTACTGCCTTGAATCATGACATTTTTTCTGTTTTAAATAAAGAAAAAAAACCTATGTAATATTGATATAGTCTTGCTAAATGTTCTGATGCCAAAAGTAGTGAAAGGGAACAAGCCAAATTACCGTAGTTCAAAAAGCTCAGAAATATTGATGTAAGAGAGGCCAAATATGAAGACCTTAAGTAAACATCTAGGGAGCTACCTGGTAATGAAATTACCTTCATTCATCAAATACTTGTACTGTAATATTTAGGGATACCCAGCCAGCGGACAACTGATAGTCCGAGGGTCATAGTGAATGGATTAAGTATGGCACTGGCTTATAACTTGACGGTGTTGATTGTGAAAGTTCCTCAGGATTTTCCAGCCTGGTTTCTCTTTGTCATTTGAACAGGACGGAGGGCCTGGCAAACAAAGTCCACCCTTGTACTCTTTGGTGTGCATATAAAAGAACCCTTAACAGATTTATATTGATAAAACATACTCATTACATATCTCCAAATCTATTTCTCATTTTATGTTATAAAATTTATAGCAGGGGGCAGTGATTTCATACATGTACTAATGTATGCACTTGTCTCTGCAACAATTTCGGTCAATGTGCCTTAATACCATAGTTTCCAGAAATAAAAATTTTGTAAACAGAATAACTTCCGCTATAGGCTAGGCCTATTTATAAAAGATAATTCAATCCTTTACATTTTGTCATGTCACTAAAGCCAGTAACACCACATTGAAATAGGCCTAATTAGTTAAATCCTAGAAATAAGTGAATTAATATCAGACACATTAATTTTAGAAACCATTAATTTAAAGATACATTCTCTCGTACAAACTTTGTGATTTGATGGTATATTTGGACTAAAAACATATTCAAAGTAACCAATCTATCAAAAATGTGCTTCAATTCCCTCTGAAAACTTTGTCTTCGCTGGGGATACCTATAGCTATAAGTAAGCTGTTGTTAGATTCAATGTCTGTCAACTTAGCTTCATTGTGGGAGGGTCTATTTTTCAGAATGTATTTATCATTACTTACTGTACATTTATCATACATATTGATGCCTAAGTAAATTCTTAATTATTTATGTCAACTTCTTTTACAACCGTTCAATTACAGAGTCTTTTATAGGTTGATACCCCTCAATGTTCCCAAAACCGCCTAACCATTTGATCAAGAAATAACAACAGCTCCCTCACTTAAGCTGGCACACAATAAGCTGGCAGATAACAGTCAGGTTGCCAGTTAGGAATACCCTGACAATTTTGCCCAGTGCTTGCCCCTTGGGCCTTTTTTCGGGTAATCCAGTATTTGTCTAGTAAGATTGGGTGTCTATACTTTCCATATATACCAAATTTGACATACTTTTATTGGAAAGAACCACCCGATAAATACTTTTCTGGGAAAGTATCTTTAATACAAAAGAAGGCTAAAGCACAAATGGGTGTGCTATCATGTCTGGGGTGCAAGGCCTGATTTATAATACCCACAGAGGCCCTAATTTGTTGCACCCTATATGCCTGGTTAGAGTTTTTTTGAGATTTTATACAATATTAATCATGATGACAAAACAGGTCACAGTAAGAAAAGATAAAAACATTGAACATTTTTAAATTAAATATTTTAAATTTTGTCATTATAATAAAGTTTGCATTGCCCACATCCCCATGATGCCATAAGTACAGGCCTAGCCTATCTGCTTTTCTTGCTTAATGTATAACCTGTGTTAATTATCCGCTTTATGCCAGTTGTAAACATGGCAATATTGTTTTTGATTCGGGCAGTAGTTCTAACTTCTAAACCAATAGGCCTATGTTATATATTATGCAAAATCATTTTTCTGGGATAAAAAAAAAGGGGCGGGAAATTAAGCTGCTTATCAAGTCATTTTGCATTGTAGGCCTAACTCGGGTGTGTAGCCTAAATTATTATGACTGATAGTCCTATTAATTGAAACGATCAAGATATGCCCCAACGCGTCATTCAAAGGGGAAACATGATTCGCTTTTTTAAAAATTTAAAGCCTGCATAACAACCTGCAGAAAATTGCTTCGCGGAGCGACATTCTTATCAATAATCACTACTCTCAAACCCGAGTCACGTGATCCCATTTTACCAGATGACGCAAATACAGCCCAACGACGCCATATTTGATGATCGTAGGTTGAAATTTTAACATATTTTACTTAATTACTCTTACTGCACACCCTGTTACACCCTCGTGAGCTAGGGATTAAATTGGTTCTTTGTTTGGGCGAGAGAGGTCTGTGAAGGACGCGACGGTGGTACAAGGTCAGGGCCGTAGCTTTCTTTAGGAATGACTACCAAGAATTTATCAGCACAAATTGGGTTGCATTTTATCGAATTTATGTTTTATATCGGACGAACACATTAGATCAGTAAGTATTTAACGAAACAGGTGACTGCAGAATTTATTTGTTGTCAACTTAAGCTGAGAAAAATCGCTAGCGCGTTTGTTTTGGAACGAAAAAACATGTGCCCCTGCCCAAATGGCCTTCACTTCGGAAAGGGGTCGACTGCTCATTTGAAAATATTACTCGCCAAAATTAGCCTTTTGGGGCGTTTCTCTTGATATTTTCTAATGCTTTATCGAATGAAATAAGCTTTTTATTGCATTATACACACATTGTTGAAAGTATAGGACAAAAGTTTGACCATTTCGTGGTTATATTGACCACAGTAAAATTTGTAAACAAGTAATTACAGCTCACGACCTTTTGAAGGACCTTGACATTTCAAACTTGTCAATATATATCTGCCAGTGCATCTTCTAAATCAGCTTTGGCTTGGATATGGATAGAAATTAGAATATTATTCAATCAATGAGTGTTAATATTATGATTCATGGAATGCATGTTGATGTTAAAAACCGAATAAAAATAAATATTAAACAGATGCAATCAATTTAAATTATCAGAATAATTTACACAGGGATCTTATTTTGTAGCTTATTAATAGGCCCTATTAGTATTTATATATAAACCTTTATAAGGTCCATGATTTATACTATATCAAGGTTTACTAAATTAGATGGGAATTGTAGACTCAGTTGCATTCACAAGCTATAGTGGACATGTTTTGGCAAAGTCAAGGGCAGAACTTAGTGAATAAGTGACAGATATTGTTTAAATTAGAATGTGTCCAATAATTTAAACCAGGTACAATGTACAATACCAGATTTAATAATAATGACTTTATTTAAGAAGGTTTGAAGATTAGGGCTATAATAGCCTTTCTAACATCCTGCCATTCATAATACAAAAGATATAGACTGATATTAAATAACACACCACAATAATTTACAATAGCGGAAAAAATATATACAAATCAGTTAAAAGATTAATTTAAGTATGCGAGTTCAAAAAACAGAAAGTTTGAATACATAGATATAACACATATTAAGAAATGTACAATATGTACATGGTTATATATGGAGATATAAGCTTATACATGTAATAAATATAGGGGGAGGGCCTTTTTTAGGATAATATATTTGGAGTAGATTTAAGGTAAAGGAGAAGTTTTTTCCTGAAAATATTCAAGTTATTTTCAGTTTTTATACGCCCACATTGAAATGTGGTTGTATATTGTTGTCGCCCCCGTCATCCGTCCTCCCGACACCCATCCGTCGGTCCGGCGTCCACAATTGCTTGTGGACGCTCTAGAGGCTTAAGTTAATATCCGATTGACTTTAAATTTATACACAGTGTTTAAGGTCATGAGACGAAGAAGCCTATTGATTTTCAGCGATTTCCGATAATTACTGCCGGATTTATGGACCTTTATCACTTTGAAAAATCTTGTGGACGCTCTAGAGGGTAAAGTTAATATCCGATTGACTTTAAATTTATACACAGTGTTTAAGGTCATGAGACGAAGAAGCCTATTGATTTTCAGCAATTTCCGATAATTACTGCCAGAGTTATGGCCCTTGATCACTTTGAAAAATCTTGTGGACACTCTAGAGGCTAAAGTTAATATCCGATTGACTTTAAATTTATACACAGTGTTTGAGGCCATGAGATAAAGAATCATATTGATTTTCAACGATTTCGAATAATTGCTACCAGAGTTATGGCCCTTGATCACTTTGAAAAATCTTGTGATGCTCTAGAGGCTAAAGTTATCATCCGATTGACTTCAGATTGATACACAGAGTTTAAGGTCTTGAGACGAACAAGTATATTGATTTTCAATGAATCTTTATGACTTGAATTGAACAGCTAAATCCATGATGTTAAAAGTTTCGTATACTAAACGTTAGCATGGGGCAGAACTTTATAAAAACCAAACAAATTATAATGGTTTTCTGATAATTACTTAATGAGTTGTCACTCTTAATCAGATTTTAATGTATTATAAATATTTCATTACCAAAAAAAGTAAAAATATGCGACAAGTCTTGTTGACTGCCTGGACGATATAGCTGCTGTGGGCGTATGTTTCATTACCTGGCAACCTATCTTTAATAATAATCAGATATGTAAATCCTGTTGTGTTTGATGCAGACAGTCCTAGAGGGATTACTGTGTAACTGTGATAACAAGATACATCCACATTCATTGTGGGTGTCAAAAATACAGAATAAGAGGAAATTGGTTCAACACAATAACACATATCTACATGTACAAGTAACCTCAATTCTACCACACAAAGATTGAATTTGAGTCTAGCATTTTCCTACACATGATTAAGTGCTGACCCATATCCACGATTAAGCTCACCATTTTAATCCAGGCAATTAATTGTAATAAGGATATAGGATAAGCATGCTATGCCATTTTTAAAATGTTTATAAAATGGTTATAAAATGCTTTTACAATGCTACCATGAAGTTCAAGTATTGTCTACAATGGTACCATACCATATATGAAGTTCAAATATTGTCTATGATTATCACCTTTGGATGCAGACATGAACCCCTAGTACATGTAGTAGCACTACCGTAGTGGAAACAACTGAATTCTTATGGAAACACTTAACAGTTTATTTTCTGAACATGAACCCCTAGTACATGTAGTACAGTAGTGGAATAACTGAATTCTTATGAAAACACATAACAGTTTATTTTCTGAACCACACTTCATTTATTATTGAGATAGATTTAATTTGATTCATAATTGTTGGTTTGGATTCCTAATTTGTCTGTTTATTGAAGAATTTGTTCTTTTCAGAAATGAGTGGTTTGAGTGAAGTGGGTATATCCCCAGTTCTTCTACAAGCAATATCTCATACATTAACCTCATCAGATTCAATATCAACAGACAAGCGACTGACAACCATGAATGTTAAACAAGAAAATCCTTCACCATCTAAAGTGGTTTCCCATTTATTACAAGGAATGAATGAACCAGTGGCAAGTCTTCTACAGAGCCACTCCGGAAACAAAATTATGATTAAGTCAGAAGTTGATGATCAGCAGCAACCAGTGCAATTAAACGTTAATCAAAATGTTGAGAAATCAACAGACTACACTAATAGTGGTCAAGATGTAAGTATGGTTAATGTTTTAACAGCCCTAGCAACGCAACATTTGAGGAACAACACCAACTCAGATACGACCATACAACAACAACAACATGTCAGCGAATCAGCACCAACTAATTTACTAGAGCAACATGTAACCAATGAACAAGGACAACATATCATAATTTATTATAACAGTGAAAGTGGAGCTGTACCATCCCCCGCAAATGAACACGAAGTGGTTATTGAGAACATGGAAAGTTCAGGGGATGGGCAGGGAATCCGTCTTGTAATGCAACAGGGAGATGAGGAGTTGCCTGCAGCATCAACATCAAAATCATCCAATATATACATGTTACAAGAAGTACAACAAGCTGCTTTAAGTAGTGAATCACATACATCTAAATCATCACACAGTGATGGTGCTGAACCTATTGGTAATCCTTGTCCTATCTGTGGAGATAAAATATCAGGTATGAATGAGGATTCTCAAAGAATTCATTTATCCCTGCAACAAATTCTCCCATACATGTGCATGTTTAATGTTTTAGTAGAAGTAGTTTCACTGACCCGAAAAAGCTTCAAAATAGCTAGAAACTTTTGATAAATTCTGTTAAGATTCAAACTACCGGTATGTTAATTATAACTAAGCATAGCCAGAATTTTAAGAGAAATAGCTGTTCATTTTTACAGCCCCCTAGCTGCTATCTTGGTTCTTTAAATAAATAGATTTGCTTTTTTAATATTTTTTTTAAGATTAAGAAGAATATTTTTGTTACAATATTGTATGTAATGTAAATATGAAATTATGTCTTATTTCACAGGCTATCATTATGGAATCTATACATGTGAAAGTTGTAAAGGTTTTTTTAAACGAACTGTTCAGAATAAGAAAACATTTGTTTGTCATAGAAACAGTGACTGTGAAGTGAATATTTATAATCGTAAAAAATGTCCAGCATGTCGATTTGTAAGATGTTTAGACATGGGAATGAGGCTAGCAGGTAAGATAGTAAATAATAATGTAAAGTTGAAAATATTGCTTCTATGTTTTCGTAGAGTTTTAATTACCTGTAATGAATTTCAAAAACCTCCTTCAAGTATCACCTAGTGCACTGACATATGTAATAGATCATACCGAAATCTATTGACAGAAAACAAACATTGTCAGATTACAAATGAACCTGGAAATAAGAAACATGTCACAGACATTAGTCACAAATGTTCGTACTCTTAAATGATAAAAAATCTGAAAATGAAATAGTGTTTACTTTTCTTGGTAAACAATCTACCAGCAACATACCTTTCCAGTTTACAATGTCAATATAAATATAATCCTCTATGCCAATTACGCTTCAGTTCAGATGATTTTTTTTTCTTGTTGAGAACAATGCAAATCGCCCAATTGATGAAGGACATAGTGATCATTGAAACGATGTATTACAATTCAACTTATTACAATTTGCGTAATGAATCGGGAGATGCTGAATCGATTTATCACGATTCTTTTTATACGCCCACATTGAAATGTGGTCGTATATTGTCGACGCCCCTCAGCCCCTGTCCATCTGTCCACAATTAGTTGTGGACGTTCTAGAGGCTAAAGTTAATATCTGATTGACTTCAAATTTATACACAGTGTTTAAGATCATGAGACGAAGAAGCGTATTGATTTTCACTGATTTCCGATTATTACTGCCGGAGTTGCGATCCTTGATCACTTTGAAAAATCCTATGGACGCCCTAGAGGCTAAAGTTAATATCCGATTTATTTTAAATTTATACACAGAGTTTAAGGTTATCAGACGAAGAATTCTATTGATTTTCAACGATTTCTGATAATTAATGAGTTAATGGCCCTTGATCACTTTAAAGAATCTTGTGGATGCTTTTCGAGACAAACGTTATCATCTGATTGATTTTATATTATACAATGTGTGTACTATATGTAATTATTTCGATTGACTTTAGATTGATACACAGTCTTGTTGATGCTTTTCGAGACCATAGTTATCATCAGATTGATTTTTATACGCCCACATTTTCATGTGGACGTATATTGTCGTCGCCCATGTCGGTATGTCCACAATTGTTTGTGAACACTCTACAGGTCATAATTTTTATCCGATTTCAATAAAACTGGAAATATAGGTTTATCACCCTAAGATCTCGGTTCCTTTCGATATTGGCATGTATCGGACTGTAACTTCATGGATTATGGCCCTATTGTACGAAAAATCACGTTTTTAGCTTGTGAACACTGTAGAGGTCATAATTTTTATCCGATTTGGTTTAAACTTGAAATGTATGTTTATAACTTACAGATCTCGGTTCCTTTCGATATTCGCGCATATCGGACCATAACTTCCTGAATTATGACTCTTGATTGTACGAAAAATCGTGTTTTTAGCTTGTGGACCCCATAGAGGTCACAATTTTTATCCGATTCACAAAACCGTGTGAATATATATCACCGTTACACCCTAAGAATGGTTGAGTTCGAATTTCGTAAAAATTGGACCGAAACTGACAGACAAAATGGCCGCCCATCGTTCGCAAATAGTGTCAAAATATTTTGTATCAGGGTTGTGGATCCTCTGGAGGTTACAATTTTCATCTGATTTTGATGAAATTTGAAATGCATGTTTATAACCCAAATATCTTGGATCCTTTCTATCTTCGTGCATATCAAATCATAACTTCCTGAATTATGGCCCCTGATTGTACGAAAATTCGCGTTTTTAGCTTGTGGTCCCTCTAGAGGTCACAATTATTATCCGATTTAAAAAAACGTTCGAATATATCACCGTTAGTCGTTACACCATAATTTTGTCTGAGGTTGAGTTTCATGAAAAATCAGACCAAAATTGCCAGACAAAATGGCCGCCCCTCGTACCCAAATAGTGTAAACATCTGGTATATCAAAGTTGTGGACCCTCTAGAGGCCACAATTTTGATCTGATTTTGATGAAACTTGAAATGCAAGTTTATAACCCAAAGATCTTGGTTCCTTTCAACATTTGCGCATATCGAATTGTAACTTCCTGAATTATGGCCTCTGGTTGTACGAAAAATCGCGTTTTTAGTCTGTGGTCCCAATTATTATTCGATTTAAAAGAACGTTCCAATATATCACCGTTACACGATAATAACTGTTGACATCGAATTTTATGAAAATCGGGCCAAAACTGCTGGACAAAATGGCCTCCCCTCGTATGCAAAAATTGTAAACATCTGGTAAATCAAGGTTGTGGACCCTCTAGAGGTCACAATTTTGATCCGATATTGATGAAAGTTGAAATACATGTTTATAACCCAAAGATCTGGGTTCCTTTCGATATTCGCGCGTATCGGATTTTATCTTCCTGAATTATGGCCCTTGAATGTACAAAAAATGGCGTTTTTAGCTTGTGGTCCCTCTAGAGATCACAATTATTATTCGATTTAAAAAAAACGTTCAAATATATCACTGTTACACCATAACTTCCTGGATTATGGCTCCTGATTGTTCAAAAAATCGCATTTTTAGCATGCAGATTCTCTAGAGGTCACAATTTTTTTTTTTTCAATTTTAAAAACCGTTTAAATATATCACCATTCCACCATAATGAAGGTTGAATTCTAATTACGGGAAAATCGAAATGAAACTGCCGGACAAAATGGCCGCACTTTGTACGCAAATTGTGTAAAAGGATGCTACAAAGGTTGTGGACCCTCTATAGGTCACAATTTTTATCCAATTTTGATGATACTTAAAACATATCTTTATATCCCAAAGATCTCAGTCCCTTTTGATATTTGGGCATTTCAGACCATAACTTTCTGGATTATTGCCCCTGATTGTACAAAAAATCCTGTTTGTTTTTAGCTTGTTCTCTATCCATCTCTTCCAAAATGTGGGCGTATACTGCCTGGCAGCCGCTGGTATAATTATACACTGTGTTTATGCCTATATAATCATTTCGATTGACTTTAGATTGATGCAGAGATTAAGGTGATATTAAATGTATATTCTAATGATTTTCTGATAATTACATACAATCTAATTAGAATACAGATCTATATTTCGTTTTGTTTTTTTTTTTATACTTTCGATGGCCTACACTACATGAAGATCTGACCGGTTGTAATAAAATTTATCGTCAAAGGTTGTACGAACGGCTTTTGACACTATGACGTCAGACATTGATTAATCAACCAGCGTTGACGTTTCTAGTGGTTTACCCACAGTTCCCTGCATCGCACACCAAGAAGTCACTGTAACAGTGGGCTCATCCCTCACGCCATCCAGAACGCAGGCTATATGACAACTCTTCCAGAACTATAAAAAACGAATTGAATTCAATAGAATCTGTGTTTTAATCAGATTGTGATAATTACTTAATGAGTTGTTATTCTTAATCAGATTTTAGTGTATTGTAAATATTTCATTACCGACAAAAGTAAAAAAAAATGCGACAACTCTTGTTGACTGCCCGGGCGATTTAGGTGCTGTGGTAATATGTGTCGTTAACTGGCAACCTATCTTTTATGGTTTTTGTTGCTTCTAATTATCCTGGCCGAACGAAGTTAGGGAGGGATATTGAAATGGGTTCTGTCCATCTGTCCCGATTTCCTTTCCGGAGCATATCTCATAAACCGTTCAAGATATCTTTTTGAAGGGAGTCACGGTGGCTAAGTGGGTAAGGCACTGGCTCGCAAGCCTGGAGGTCGGGTGTTCAATCACTGCATTGGCCGAGAAAGTCCATCCACATTTTCCGGCGTGGTTCCCTGTTGTCAGTGATGCAGGACAGTGTCTAGTTGTTCGGATGGGATCAAAAACCGAGGTCCTGTGTACACATTGGCGTGCACGTAAAAGAGCCCTTGACAGTTGGAATTCGATATAAGAGAAGGCTGTAGACGTAGTGCTGCTGCCCGGGCAAAAATTCTCGAATAGCACACGGAATGGGCCTGTCTTCATTGGCCCAGTTTGGAGCAGAACAGTAGGACGTTTCATTTATCTTTTTGAAACTTTATACACACATCAACCTATTCAGTAGTTGTGCCTTTTGCTATTATGAATTTCTGGGATTTATATTTTTTGTGTTTCCATGGAAACAAATTTGACATAGTTTTGGTGTACAATTTTGTTTCCGGAGCATATCTCACAAACCCACAAACCGTTCAAGATATCTTTTTGAAACTTTGCACACACATTAACTTGTGATATACCGGTATATAGTAGTTGTGCCTTTTGCTTAAATTTCTCTGCTGAATGATTTTTGAATTTTTACTACACATTTGACTTGTGTATATAATTAATTGTTGTGCAAACCTTACAGGGAGTGGAGTAACAACCCTGCCTTGCTGAGCTAATGTGATCAGAGTATGAATCTTGGGTACTATTTCAGTAACGTACCTCTACCAGTTCCTGTGATCGTAGAGACTTGTAATTTTTAGGGTGTGTTCACGGGGACTAGCCATGACATCACACGAAATTTCAGCTGAATCGGTCAATAACTTTTTATTTTACCGTAGTTTAGTTTCTATAAGAGATAAATTTATCCGATTTTGACGCCATTTTGTTTGTTGACTATTTAGGCTCGAATGACGTCATATGTGGATTGTGGGTTAGAATAAGGGTTAGGGTATAGTCTCAAGATGTAGACAGGGCTAGCCCTAACCCTAACCCTGTCTTGTTATTCGAGTCTAAATAGCCAACAAACAAAATGGCGTCAAAATCGGATACACTTTCTCGTTATAAGCTAAACTACGGTAAAATAATCAGTTATTGACAGATTCGGCTGAAATTTGGTGTGAGGTCATGGCTAGGCCCCATGAATGCCCCCTGAAAATTTCAAATCTCTACGATCATGGGAACTGGTAGAGGTACGTTACTGAAATAGTACCGAATCTTCTGACTAGTCACATTGATATTCCAAGAAGTTGTTTTTCCTTATGTCTTCCAAACACCTGCAAGGTTGCAGGATGGTGATGACTAGTTATCTTGTTATCCATGTTACACACTATCCAAAGGTACAGCAACATTGGCGTAGGAGCTGGGGGTGGGGTGGGGTGATGGGATTTCAAAATTTTAGTTGTCGGACATTTTCTTCCCGAAAATAAAGGGACATAACTCTTATCGTCATTAAGCGTTTTCAAACCACAATTAAGAATCACGTGTCAACAAAATATTCAAATTCATACGTAATAAAAAAAAAATAGGTGCACCTCGTTATTTTTCAAATTTAATTCCCGTACGGTATTCAGATTTATGTCAATAATATTCCTACAAAATTACATGACATCGTAATACCATAGAATGAAAGCGTGCCGACTACTGCCCATCCGTATACCGGTTTCAAATTCCCCCAAAATTACTATATTTTTCGGGTCATAAGTCGATACATTTTTCAGCGAAGTCCGGCATTCGTCTTATACTCTGTTTCGATTTATATACGGAAGGTAAAAAAATGACATCCCGAAATTTATTTGACCGTAAACCGTAGTAAACGTCGGTCTATAATACAACGAGCGAGTGACACCAACTGCTAAAAAATCCCATTCGACTCTAAGCATGCGCTCTCGTCTAAAACAGTTACCGTAACTACTTACGTTATTCCAATCAAAATATTCATCAACATTTTTTAGCGTGTTTATGTATTTATTTAAAAACATAAACCCCATTCAAAATATGATCATAAATCCGACAATATGCCATCAAAATAGAATCTTTTCTCCCGACATCAGACGTATTAGATTCGGCACGTTTACACCTCTTAATTTCACGTGTCTCGCGAGATTTCTACTTTCATTATGCGTAACTACTTACGTTATTCCAATCAAAATATTCGTCAACATTTTTTAGCGTGTTTATTTATTTATTTAAAAACATAAACGCCATTCAAAATATGATCATAAATCCGACAATATGCCATCAAAATAGAATCTTTTCTCCCGACATCAGACGTATTAGATTCGGCACATTTACACCTCTTAATTCCACGTGTCTCGCGAGATTTCTACTTTCATTTTGCGTGTGTGTGAAATAGCTTTATTTAACTTCGGCTTCCACTGAAGAAATATCACAGACAAGTTATCGGACACAATGTATATTGATTTGGGGTGTTATAAACTATTAGGATATGTGACATGACTAATATTATCAACGATAATCAGGTTGAGTGGTAGTTATACACTCAGTACACTATATTAATTTTGGAATTTTGAATATTATTTACCATGTCTTGATGTCCAATTCGGCATATTACTGGTCGGACAATTTACGACGTTTGGAAAATAGCGTCGGACATGTCCGGAATATACTGGCAAAATCCCAACCGTGGGGAGCTGCACCAGATTTGGTCAACTGTCCATTTTTCGGGCAATGTATTTCCGTTTTACAAACATCAGAGAATGGGGAAAAGTTGTTTTTTGCTTAACATATTGTAAATTTATATTATTGTGTAAAATTAAACAACCATCACAGCTTTGTGGAAAACCCTTTTTAATTAATGATTGATTCATTCTGAAAATCCGGGTGACAAAGAAAATTATCGGGCAAATAGAGATTGACCCCCTACGTCGCCTATGTACACAAAAACTCTTAAATTGTTTTGGCCAGTTTGATCTCTTCCACATTGACAGGACTAACAATATCAATTATTCATTTTCTTGGTAAATATATGCCTGGTTATGGATAGTGATATGGATTGTATCTTATTGTGACTTCAGTGGCAATACCCAGCACTAGAACTACTAGAAGGACATATGAACTGCAAAACATAGAAATATACTTCCATGATAGATGTACAATGAGTTGCACATTATCACCCTGGTTTAATCTAGATTGTTATCCCATCTTTTTAAACAAGCTTTTTGTCAATGCTTTTGCTTGAAATGATTTAAATTGATATTTTATAGATATTTGTAACTTGAGAGACAAGTAATTTTTGTATTATCTTTCTGTAAAGATTTCAGAGCATCTGTGAAATACACCATAATATTAACAACTCTTCTCTTCTGTCTTACTTTTAGCAATAAGAAGAGATCGGACACGAGGAGGAAGAAGTTCTTATGAAGGATGTCTTGCTCCTAAGAGTAAACCGTCACCATTAGAAAGAAAGATAAAACGCTCGTTACCCGGTTTGAAGACTCCAATTTCAGATGATATGGCAGTTCCTGTTAATATCACATTTCCTGGTGATAGTAGCAAAAGTCATCTGGTAGCTATTTTAAACCATAGTAACCCTATTTCACAAACTCATAAAGAAACTGGACCTCAAACACCCGAGTTATTAACAGATATCATGAATTTAGAACCATTATTAACAGACGAAGACATTGTTCAGGATCTACCATTAGATGCTGTAGAAACCCAAGACTCTTTATTAAGTTATCTGACACAGTTGACAGAATTACGACTTTATAAATTGGTCCGCTGGGCTAGAAATTTACCACAATTTGGTGCAATATCAGTAAGTACCTGTAATTAATATTTTAATAAATCATAATAAAATCTATTAGCATCGACGTATACTATACACATAAGGTAATTTAAATATTGATTATAAAAGGAGTTCATTCTAATGAGTAGGGTTGTCACGATTAATCGGTTTAGTCGTAGTCGATTCGGTTTCTAGTTCAAACCGATTCACATTTTGAAAAATCGGTAGTCGTTTCATCCAATTTATATTTATACAATTACATAATATTGTTTGACTTTTACTGTCTGCTAAACACACTGCTATTAGCACTGCTAAATTGCTGCCTATTAAAACCGTATAGAAAGTAGGGCCCTACGTAAGTACGTGGTTTGAGACTCTATACAGAAATTCCCATTTACAGTGGCAGGATCTCAATGTCGCATGGAATTCTTCGCCTACCATATTAGGCATATCTTACTACGAAATGTGTAAAATGGTTGATTTTGGCGCGAAATAGCTGTCAACAACGGACATGATAATCATGGGCATTATAATACATGGACTGAATGCATGCCGCACGAGACAGGGAAGTTGGCTATGCCTTTTTATGAGTGATAAACTGTCAATGTAATTTTAATAAAATACCGTTTTATAAAGAAGAAAACACTGCTCCAGTATAAATTAATTTTAAATCCAGCTGTAATTTATTATTTAATTCACGATCAGAATGTGCCGTTACTGTGTACAAGACTCCTCTATCCTGAGTACGAGGATCTTCTATTCGCCCCCCTCGGCATATGTTGCCGTCTTTTTAAATGACACGTGTTCTTTTCTATTTGTGCTGTCTTCCGCGGCTTCTCTTGTCGTTTTTCGTCAATATGATTATCGCTATATATGTTAAAATATTCTGTACGGGAATTGTTGTACTAGTGAATTGTAATCTATTGCCAGAATAGGATTTTTAATTAGTAGTTAAAGCTGTGGGGGTAAGTCAGAACACGGAAATGTCTTACTTATCTTAATTAAATATCAAAACTAATGACTTAGTAAATGTTGTTTATTGCCAATTTAAACAATTTATTCCAACATCTATTTAAGACAAACTCAACGAAATGTACTACATTGATATACAATAAGCTTTTTAGTGTTCACGCGCCATTTTATAATTTACTTATTAAAAAAAAATCACAAGAAAAAAACCTCGGAGCGCAGTACAGACATTGCCATTATAGATTTATACGGCATCCGATTTATCGGCACCGATACGATTTTTGGCTGGCCGATTAACCGATTCAAGAATTTTGTAATCGTGACAACACTACTAATGAGGCTTTTGTTTTCAAATATTTTTGGACCAGGAACTGGTTCCCAGAAGCTACTCATCTTGTGGTTATTCTTGTTCTTGTGGGGCAATGCTATTCGAAAAAAGTATGGCTCCGCCATTTCAAGTATGACATCACAATTCCAAAATGGCTGTGATGGCTACGTGTGTACTTGTTTTAATTTAACAAAAACAATTATGTAGGCTACTACTATTATGTTTAACAAGAGCTATTTATTTATTTAGTTTAATCCATAAATATTTAGTTTTACAATTACTGTTTGGTTTAACCAAAACTATTCAACTTAACAACATTATTCTAGATAACAAGTTTATGCATTCACTGCTATTGATGTACTACGTACACTACTATATAATAGTATAAGTTTTTATTTATTAATTCTAATTTTGTAGACTGATGATCAGATCTTACTTCTACAGAGTTGTTGGTCTGACCTGTTAGCTTTAGGTGTATGTTGGAGAACTATGAGTAACCCAGCTGAGCTTACAATATCAGCTACCAAGAAAATTAGTTTAGAGTTTGCTATGAGTTTGGGTTTTGGTGAAGTGGTCACCAGACTGTTGTCTCTGTCAGAACATTTTCAGAAATTACAAATGGACCAAGTAGAATATGTGGCTTTGAAAGTTCTCCTGCTGATTACCCCAGGTCTGTTGAGTACAGGTATCTTATTGTTCACCCACATTTTAATGTGATTGTGTATTATTGTCGGGCCTGTCCATTGGTCTGTCGTCACTTTCTTGGACTCCCCCTAGAGAGTTTATTTCTTAATCACTATTCAATTTGAACGTTAGTTAAAGTTATAAAATTGCATATTTTCTAAGAAAGTCAAAACATAATTATTTCTATATCTATTACTTAATAGGTTGTCAAATCAATAGTATACAATCATAGGAATCATTCTAGCATTTAAAAAACATTTACATAAAAATTTGAAATAATTTCTACTTGCCAACGGTATTTGGAAATTGTATCATTTATTTTCTCTGGAAAACTAAGTCTACACAATGGAAGAGGGAGGTATCTCAATTATCAAGGTCCATGGTTAAACAGATAAGGATAATTTTGTCTGGTTGAGGGGACGTTTCATTCGATATTGGCATGTATCAGACCATAACTTCATGGATTATGGCCCCTGATTGTACGAAAAATCACGTTTTTAGCTTGTGGACACTCTACAGGTCTCAATTTTGATCCGATTTTGATGAAACTTGAAATGCATGTTTATAACCCAAATATTTTGTTTCCTTTTGATATTCGCGCATATCGGATCCCAACTTCCTGAATTATGACCCCTGATTGTATGAAAAATCACGTTTTTCGCTTGTGGTCCCTCTAGAGGTCACAATTTTATTCTGATTTAAAAAAATTGGAAATTGGACCAAAACTGCTGGACAAAATGGCTGTACATTGTACGCAAATATTCTAAAATATAGTATATCAAGGTTGTGGACCCTCTAGAGGTCACAATTTTCATCCCTTTTGATGAAACTTGGAATACATATTTATATTACAAAGATCTTGGTTCCTTTAGATATTCGCGCATATCGGATCGTAACTTCCGGAATTATGGCCCCTGATTTTATATTCCGAAAATCTGAGTCCCTTTTGATATTTGCACATTTCAGACCATAACTTTCTGGATTATGGCCCCTGATTGTAAAAAAAATCGTTTTGTTTTTAGCTTGTTCACTATCCATCTCTTGCAAAATGTGGGTGTATCCTGCCTGACAGGCACTGGTTGCTCTGCAAAGTTGGGTTTGCACTCTGCACAGAGTTAAAAATGGTAATGACACTGACTTATGATAATAATTGTTAAATGTCATTTCTTGATTAATGTACTAATTTAGAATTGTGTCAAAACTTTTTTCATTGCTCTCGTTATAGATGTGAAGGGAGTAAAAGATCCTGCTAAGATATCAGAACATCAAGAAAAACTAATGGAAGCTCTGGAGACTTATACATGTACACACTTTCCTAAACCAGATAATAAATTTGGTGAACTTTTATTGAGATTACCTGAACTTGCTCGAATTAGTTTTATGGCAAAAGAAATTTTACTAACGCGTTTACCCAAGGACACAACCACTTGTGGTTTATTAGTGGAACTATTAAAGGGAGAGAATGCTGCAAAAGATGTTTGATGGAGTTCTCCTTCCTTGATAACTTGGTTTATGGGATATTGAGGTTATTAAAAAAAAACCTCAATTCTGTGTGTAAAAGTGCTGTCTGTACATGATGTGCGAATTGTGATACAAGTGAATTTATCGACTTCCGAAAACCACAAAAGAGTTGGAAATGCATTAAATATTAAAAGTCTACAGCTTTGAAAACATTAAATACAATTAATGAAAGATATGTGCAAAAAGACCTCAATTGATAAGCATGAGATGTTAATATTATGGGAATGTGACCAGATGTTAAATTGTCTTAGTATAAAAGAAAGAATCAAGGAGATAATTGAGAGAGATAATACAGGGGGTAACCTCACCTTCATTGTTAAAATTTGCAAGAGCTTTAACTCAAAACCAGATAGTTTTTTCTTCATTGACTATTCGCATTCATGTATAGGATGAAATATATTCTGTATTAATTCAGCTGATATAGTACATGTAATTTAAACATACATGTACATTATGCAAGCACTAAATCTGCCTATTGCAGGTCTTTCTTTAGGCCTGAAATGTTATATAAACTATTAGACATTAAATTAACTTATCCAAACCATAATCAACTCTCTATGTCATCTTATGTGTCAGATTTTCACTGGATTTGAATCCGATCTGCTGCTCAATCTGACTTTAATAATGATGATCGAGGCTAGGCTTAAAATTCAAAAGCTAATGCCTCAGTTCAGAGTGGAGCAATTTGACTGAAATTTTCAACATATTCTATTTACGTTGTCTATTTTTAAACTATTAATAATAGTGAGAACAGCCAACTCTTTATCTGATCTCCCATAATACCTCTTTAACTTGCATAATACTGTATTATGTGACAAATTAATTTTTTTTTTTTTTTTTTTTTCATTACTGTTGATAGATTAAATGATTATGTGACTGTTATGGACAAAATTGAAAATAAGATCAAAAAATTAATACAAACATGTCACTATAAATTTTAGCATTTATGAAATATAAGGAATCATGGAGTGAGGGAAAGGGTTTTCGTTTATTCAATATTCATGAATATGTAAAGTCTAGACACAGACGTTTTATACTTCCACATAATGTGGACTTAGACTATTATGCTATTGCCCGTCTGTGTGTGTGTCTGTGGGTCGCCTACAGGGCACAATTCTTAATGGATTGTCTTGAAACTTTGCATACTTATTCCTTATACCCTAACTATGATCCCTATTGTTTTTGGTGCATGCCCGACCCCCAGAGGCAGAGAGATACCCATTTGTTCTTTGTTTGTATGTTGTCTACAGGCCACAATTCTTAAAGGATCGTCTTGGAACTTGGAATATATATTTCTTCTAGCCAAAGGACGGCAACTATGATTTTGGTCCATGTCCCGCCCCCGAGGGGCAGAGCCATGCCCAACTTTTGTGTTTATCGTACATGTATATACAGACCACAATTCTGAATGGATCATCTTGGAACTTGGCTTTTGTATTCCTTATAGCCTAAAGGTGGAAACAATTGATTTTGGTGCATGTCGTCCAGACCCCCCAGGGGCAGAGCCATGTCCAATTTTTGTGTTTAGCACCCGAAGGCCACAATTCTGAATAAATCATCTTGGAACTTGGCTCATGTATTGCTTATACCCCAAGGATGGCAACTATTGATTTTGGTGCATAATCCCCCCCCCCCCCTTTGGGCGGTGCTACACCACTTTTTGTTAATATTTTGTTTAAATACTGTACAGGTTGCATTTATTAACAGATTTGGATCCAATTCAGCATGATCCATCATAGGGTTGTACCTATTTATATTGGTCCATGACCAACCCTCAGGGGCAGAGCCACGCCCAATTTCTGGCGTGTTTTTTGTCTACAGGCTGGAATTCTGAATTGATCATCTTGGAACTCATAGAGTGGGGTAAAGTCTAATCAAACAAAACACTGGGAGGGGTATGCTTGGAACTTGGCATATTTATTCCTTATACCGTAAGGATAGTAACTATTTATTTTGGTGCATGTCCCGACCCACAGGAATTGGGTACCACACCCACTTTTTTGTTAATTTTTTGTCGGTAAATACTCTCTACAGGTTGCAATTATTAAAAGATTTAGTTCAAATCAGCATATCAGTCATTTCAATAACAGGGTTGTACCTAATTATATTGTTCCATATCTAACCCCCAGGGGCAGACCCACGTTCAGTTGTTCTGTTTATTATCTACAGACTGCAATTCTGGATCATCTTGGAACTTTGCATGTTTATTCCTTATACTGTAAAGACAGCAACTATTTTTTGGGGTGAGGCGGTGTCACACCCACTTTTTTGTTAATATCTAGTTTGTGACTTTGGCAAAACAAACCCAATGCCTAGCCTTCTTTGCCGCTTGTCATATTGCAGCGGTAGCTATGCTCTTGTTGTTTGTTAAAAGTTAAGGTACTATGTATTATTCCAACATGTTGGAATCGGAAACAAAACTTTATTCTTTTCTTTAAAAAGTTCATGGGATTCTAAGACGATTATGATTATAAGGAATTTTGCCTTCATGTACATGTATGTAGAATAATTTAAAGTATTATACACCTACTTGCATCAAATTACTATCTGTATTTAAAATTTCTTGAATACCGATTTTAGCAAAGGTAAATCAGTTGTGTATTATTGAATATTTGCATGAACATCCCAGAAGTTATCTCAAAAATGTTATGGTGAGATGATCTTTTAAGTTGAATGGTGTTGACATTTTATAAATGAATTCCATCTTATCTTGAAATTTTGAAAGTTTTGAGTAAGCTGTGTTGGAATTCCGATTTGTATTTCATTTTTATACCAGATCCAGGTACCATACATAATAATTCAGACACTCCCTGACCCAATCATATATGTTATAATCCTTTCAGCAGTAACATTGCTATATTTTATGATAGTGGTGATTTATGTTTAATAAAGTACGAACTGAATCGTCTTATGGGACCACCACCATTCATTGTTTTGTATTTTGTTTGTTATTTTTCTCTTTATTTAAGAGGTTTAATTTCTAAACATCAATAACATATATTTCCCTAAATATAGGATTTATTTCTTAAATCTTTTAAGGCTGTAAGTAATGTTCTGTTTATTCAATCGTGATTAGAAAATTTTTTAAGTTTCTTTTATTTTGTTAATATTATTGGTTATTCTGTTATTTTATTATATGAAAGATTATCCTTCAGACTAGTCTGTGGCTTTTCATAACCAATAAAGAATATTGACTAATTTTTGTGTACATGACAATATACCTACATTTAATTGTAGACCAGAGGGAAATAGTTAATGATCATGAAGAAACATACATATTTTTAAAAAATATCTATATCTTATAATTTTTTTATTTTGTCAAATTTCTTTCATTTCAAAATGACAATATTTTTCACATTAGATTGGTTATGTAAATATATTTATTGAGGAATAATATTTAACTAAATGAATTTTAAACTTCTAAGTAGGTCAATCATGTATGACTCGAATAAATTATTCCGGTATTTATTTCTTTGATCTTTATTTTAAAAAAAAGCTTCACATGAGATTCTTCATTATGATGTTTTTAGAACAAAATTATATTGTCACATGGAGGGTGGAGCAGATGAGCTATACCATGTCCATGACTAGAACATGGAGGGTGGAGCAGATGAGCTATACCATGTCCATGACTAGAACATATCCTTCCACAGAAAATGGTCATAATTAAAACACTAAAACTTTTTGTGAATTATTCAAATGTTGCTTCCAGTCTTTCAAGGTAACCATTTATTGACTTTATATACCCTCAAAAGCATCTATAGAGGCTAAATTTCTCATCCGATTGACATGAAATTTATACACTGTGTTTCAGGACCACATAAAGCTTGCATGGGGCCTGCTGGCTTCAACAGTGAAAAGAGGGGCATATTCTGTCACTCACACAAAATGCATTTTGTATGTTTATGGTATATTGATAGATTTATTTGGCAAAAACATATACAACATATTTAACAAGAACATAAATTAATTTTATGAAAACTAATATGGGGGGCTTTAATATTGGGGGATAATCTGGGCCTGTCATGTTTATGTTTTTGATACTTTCCAGGTCAAAGTTATCATATTGTTGACTTGATGCCGGGCCCGTAGCCCGGCCCCCCCCCCCCCCAAAAAAAATAGAATTAGCCCCTCAAATATTTTGCCAACAATAATGATTTCTTAGGAGCGTTCTTAGCCGGCCACATTCTCAGCCCCTTTAAAAAATTCCGTAGCCCCACCAAATTTTAAGAGCTGGCTACGGGCCCGCAAAGTTGATGCACGGTGTTTATGTTCATTAGATGAAGAAAAAAATGGATTGCAACATTAGATCTCAGCAACTACTTGTCGCATCGTTAAGATGTCTTCAGTTTTAATGGGAAAGTGTATGGTAGGGTATCTCTACCAATATTAAATGCTCTGCTACAATGTCTTTTCCATTGGGTATTAATATGTAAAAAATACGATGTACAAAGTCCGGTAATGATAAAGTCAAAATACCTCTAAAGCAAGAGTTAAGTGTCAAATGACAAATTTTTTGTGAGAAAATGCTTTTTTGACGTGTCTACATTTTATTACATTTCTCTCATTACATTTTACATTAATTGCGCTCTGCCACATCTCATTTATCCTTCACGCTTTCTACATAACATCTTTCGCACAGCATCAACTTTCATGTGCAAATGTAGGATATCACGTGACTTAAAGATACATTATGGGAGATAAGATAAAGAGATGGCAGTTCCCGCTATAATAGTTAAAAAACTAAATAGTGTAAAGGTAATTTGCTGAAAATTTCAGTCAAATTGATCCACTATGAGCCGAGAACGAAGCGGGTGAAATTTTCGCATAGTCTCGGTCATCATTACTAAAATCATTAATATAAACAGCATTGTCTCGATTATCCACTGTTTTGATTTAATTATCAATGGCCGTTAAGCGGCATATAGGAATCTAATCCAGCCAACATCGAAGGCTAGCCTTGACATCGAGAGTTAATTATGGTCTGGATAAGTTAATTAATGTCTAATTAATAATTTAGATAACATTTCAGGCCTAAAGAAAGACTTGTAATAAGCAGATTTTGCTCTTGCATAATGCATGTTTAATAACATATACGGAAACCTGGCACACATTATAAACCAGCACACTATAAGGATATTCACCGCACGATAACAGTAAAGCAAGCTGGCACATTTTAAGAAACTATCTAGACGACCGTGCGTAATATGCCAGGAAATAATTGATACATTCAAAGAGCCAAAGAAACATACTTTTCAGTAATTTATAACACAATAACTGGAATATCGTATTAATATCCGTATTTTAACGGTCTTTCTATAAATAGAGTTGAGTACAGCCTAATTAACTTTGTTCCATTAAAAAAAACAAAAACAATATATAAGCATTGTGCCCAACAAATAAATAATATATTTAAAGAGAGGAATGACTTTACATTTTTTTAGTATAGACATAGAGAATCTTTGATTAAGCCCCTTCCTTCACTCCAACTTTAATCTTAATTTGTAAAGTTATGCAAATATGAATGTGCCAAAAATTATTTGCATATTTAGAAAGAGCAATCAATGATACGTAACATGGTATCTGGAATTTCGTATTTAGACCAGTATTTTTACTTAATACCCCTTAAATGGTGTTTCCTGCCACTCGATGTTTTTCAAGGTACGCTAATCTGAATGTGCCAATAAATTATTTACATATTATTAAGCAGCACTAGACGTGCATTTAGTGATAGGTAGCATGGTATGGGCAATTAAAATTAACGAGGCTAGGCCCAAAATTCAATCGCTAAATACTCGGTTCAGGGTGGATCAATTTGACTGAAATTTTCAGCAAATTCCCTTTACATTATCTAGTTTTTAACTATTATAGTGAGAACTATCGGCTCTTTATCTAATTTCCCATAATGTATCTTTAACTTATGTTCAATCCATCTTGACTAATAGACAAATCACCCCACTCCCTCCCTTCCTCCAATTCTATTCCTCTGGTCCATTTCCTGCTCAGTTGAAAATGAAAAGACCTGGACAAGCATCACTCAATCAACACACTTATTAAACTTTGTTTAAACCCATTAAAGGGTCTGGAGAAGTCGAAAATGTGCTCTATTAAGGTGTTGCTTCACAAAAACTATGATCGGGCAATTGCTGTCGATATGTAACGTTCATGCCAAAAATAATCAAAATTCTCCAACTATAGTTTCTGACAAACTCTTAGGGTGATCCTTATCACATTTCAGAAAAAAATGATTCACCCATTATGAGAAAGAAGCCGATTTTCTATAAAATATCTTCTATTCGACCTTAAAAGACGACGAATGCACCAATCCCAAAGCGCTTACACCATCACCTCTATGGACTGACTGGAAAGTAGTGAATAGAAAGCGTTTGTCTATATGATACACACCCGATGCTCCATGTCTAAGTGTTTAAAACAACTTCTCAGCCGATATCTCCCAAATAACAATACTTCTCAATCTGAGTGTGCAATCCCGATGGTTGTTATTATTACACACGTAGGTCTCTAGTCCTTTCATCTTAGTTCTATCAGCTTTAAAATGGCATATTCGCGTTTCTCGTCCCCCGCAACCCCTGAAACAACATATCACACTTGTATGTTGAATACTTTTTGGGCCAATTTCTGTCACTATTTTGGATTTTGGAGGCCATATTATTGGATCAACCGTTTGTGACATGAATCAGAAACTGTCTAAAATGAGTCCGGTGACCAACAAAACTTGTCAAGGTCAATTCAAGGCCATTTTTGGTCGCCATCTTGGATTTTCGACTCTCCTGGAGTTAGCCCGTAGATTTTAGAGGTAGCAAACTACAAATATCTTCACTGGGGCCCCTTCTATTAGAAACCATTGTCAAACCTTGTCACGGATGCGTGGGGAGTGACCTGACTAATATGTCATGAATTAGTCTATAAGTATTTTCCAGTCGAATATGCCTGTATGACGCCAAACAGTGATAACGCGTAAATTCATTTCAATAAACGCGTTAATTTATATATACTGAGCGCCATGGAAAACGCAACACGTAGTTTTTCGTATAACAAAATGATCCTGTAAACATATCTAATTTATTTTGCCTCTTATTGTGAACAATATTCAAATGGGAACACATCAATAATAACACATTTGTACACTTATGGATGTTTAATCTGTAATCAACGGTACAAAGTCAGAGGGGTCAAAACCAAAAGTACGACACAGATGTCAGTAGCGCGTGTGTCCTCCACGGGCTTTTACGCACGCTGTGCAGCGACGTCGCATGGAATTAACCAATGTTTGAAAGAAGGCCTGGGGCAAATTGTTCCATTCTTGGACAAGAGCAGCTTCTAAAGCAGCAATGGTGTGCATCTGTGGTCTCCGATACAGACGGCTTCCAATCTCATCCCAGACATGTTCTATCGGTGCCATGTCCGGATAAAGATGAAAGCGACTCTCATCACTGAAGAGCACACTTTGCCAGTCTACTCTTCTCCGTGTCTGGTGTCCTTGACCCATATCAAACGCCGCTGACGGTGATGATCCTTAAGGATAGCTCCAAGATAAGGTCGTCGTGCACGGAGTCCTACTTCTCTTAGACGACGTCTTACGGTGTTGGCACTTACTGGTCCTTGTCTTCCGATGACTGCTGCACCTGTTCGAGTCGCTGGGCGGAATCTGTCACGCAGATGAGTGACCCGGATGTAGCGGTCTTGAGACTGGGTTGTAACGCGTTGTGGACCAGGACGTTGACGGTCACGTGTTGATCCAGTAACTCGAACATGTTCCACCAACCTTACAATAGTGGACTGATGGCAATTGAAGTGTCCGGCAATAGCACGTGTAGATCAATGTCGAAGTAATGTTGTAATATTAAAAGGTGGGGAAGAGCAATAAATGACTGAAGATTCTAATTTTTTTCAAAGATTCTACTTTTTATCTAAATTTCGTTTCGTCGTGTTTTTGGCCGACATTCCTAAATATGGACGTTGACCTATATTTAGAGTGTCATGGCAGCGAAAAGACAACTTGATAGGTGGAGACGTATTTTTTAACAGCCTGTTGTGTCGCTCATACTGGATCTAGCGAGGTAAGCGAGGTCTTATTTTATCACTAAGATGTTCCTTTACATTGTTCAGGTATTCACAGGGACTGCCACGCGACCGTTTAGCGGTAAAAAGTTGCCCAGTAAAATTGACATAAATTCAATGCTAACATCCCTAGACGTAGTGTCGACTGTAAAGAGACCTACGTTCAGAGCTGGTCTACGTGTAGACATGCCAGCCCTGGACATTCCCATGGTTTCATTCCGTAGATTTTCAGTAAGTCGCAGCATCTCTAGCTCGATTCCTTCACACGTCCAACAACAAATTACGACAGATTGACGTTTAACAGTTCATGTACTGCACAGTAAGTTGAAAACATGCTTTTAAAGGGCTCACACACAATGCTGCACGTGAATATTGGGTTTTTCATGTGCATCTCGTGCAATTTTTTTTTGTGCACACGGGCCGATATTTTTTGCGTTTGGGAGCATTGTGTGAAACAATAGTTCATAGTATTGCATAATATTATACATACAAAGCCACCTAGTAATAAAATATTTGGGAAAAAAAAGTGATGCGTTTTCCATGGCGCTCAGTTATAACCAGTTAAAAAGCTAACTGCTCTCAGCCCTGCCCTGAGGTGAAACACGAGATAAGAATATGGGAAGTTTATTCAAGCTTTTACTGAGGTTTCGCTGAACTCGCCACGAATACTGAGTAATAGACATTTTTTGGCTCAAAAAGAGTATTTTCGATTACATGGAGGATTGTAATTGGACAGTGGTTCTGCGTTAACCACCCACTCCCTGGAAATAAAGTTCACAAAAGAAAAATGGCTTTCGCCAGCTATGGGGCCGCCAGAGACTAAGTGAAAATCATTTTGTGGACTCTCTAGATGTTACAATTCTCTTTCGTTTTACAAGTTCGATTCTTAGCGTAAAATACTCCCCTCATTATGCAAGTAGTGGAAAAGCATGTAATACATACACCAAGGTTGTGGATCCTCTAGCGGCAACAATTTATATTTAAAGGCTCAATACCACTCTTGTTGTAACTGAATAATATGTCCCAATCTTTATTCTGGTCAACAAATTGTACTATTTTAGAATATTTCAATTAATTGATGATACAAATTTCATCTTAACACACCTTATTTAAAAATTTTGAAAAATTCAACATAATGGGTTGAAACGTCTAACGTAAACCTTTTCAAATGAAACTTCGTTTTAAAAATATTTTCGAACCCTCTGGACAAGTAAAATAGGATGTAATGGATAATTTACACAACAGGTAGGACACTTAAACATCTAGTACTTAGATAGAGATATTATTTATTTTCTGGAGCTTTCAAGCCAGCAAGAGTGTTATTGTCCCTTTAATTAAGATGAAACTGGCAATAAAGTGTGCATGTGGTCAAACGATCTTGTATGAGTAAGATTTTGGTCAGTATCGAAACGCAAAGTGTGAAAAACGTAAAAGTTTGTTGCCCCCCCCCCCCCACCCCCAGAGGTCTGAATCAGATAAATTTTAACATTAATCAAAAGACCTTGAATGAATTCAATCTTGTCGATCCGGGACGCGACTGTGACTAACAGGTAGTAGGTAATCATTGCCAAATATTTAATTTTTAAAGGAACACTCTCGCAGGTAAATTAATGGGACTAACCCTTTAACTTAATATTTTCTATTAAATATTCGAAATTAAAATCACGAATTAGAATTCAGTATTGGTCCATTTCAATCCTAATTTCCAAAACACAATGGACATTTTATAATCAGTACAGGAGTCGTGCGATATGTGGTTTTAAGCGCCATTTGTAATGAACAAAGAAAACATATCCTACAAGACATTGCTTAAAGAAAACAACTTGGGCTGTTCACGTACTTCACAGAACACAATGGATTAGAAATTACAATGCATTTTTTTTTTTAAAAATTGACTATATAAATCACTTAATACATTCCTATTACATTTGTATGTGCTTTTAGACCTCACGAGATACATTCGTACTCAGTGGCAGCGCCAGCCGCCGGTGGTTGGAGGGGCAAAGCTGGGGCAAAGTCCAAGGTTAAGGGGGCAAAGGCACGAGCTTCAACTACGGGTAGGGGGGCCTCCCCCAGACATTTAAAAAAGAAAACGCTGCCGGGAATACAAGCTGTCGGAAATGCAGCCTGGCAGTATTTCAGGCACTGATCGTTGAGATCAAGTGTCAAACGACCGAACCTCGACGAAACCCACTCACGAGCGCCAAAGTAGGGAATCCTTACGGATGCTCTCTGACAGTATTTAGGCACCGATTGTCAGATAAATAGAGGTGATCAGATACCGTCTGTCGTCTGATCACTAGTCTATCCGACCCCAGAGAGGAAAGTGTCAAATGAACGAACTTGCGAACCTCAACGAAGCCCCCGAAAATTTGAAAAGTAGACTGCCGGAAATGCTGTCTGGCAGTATTTCAGGCACTGATCGTCGAGATAAATAGAGCTTACCAGATACCGCCTGTCGCCAAATCACTGGTTTATCCGACCAGAGAAGAAAGTGTCAAACGGACGGAGTGAGTGAGTGAATCGAAGTGAATGAATATTTTCGCCATGATATTTTGTGAAATAGACTTCCGGAAATGCAGCCGGGCAGTATTTCAGAAATAGAGCTGACCAGATACTGTTCGTCGCCAAATCACCAGCTTATCCGAACAGAGAGGGAAATGTCAAACGAACGAGTGTATCAAGTGAATGCATATTCTCTCCACTTTGAACCTATATACCCAAAAACTTTGAGGATCGTAAAAAGCACTTCTCAAGTGGTTCACGTGTTATTGTTTATAGTAGGATTACAGCAGGATGGGTTTGGTAAGAAATCACTGAGACTCTACAACATGCAAGTCTATGACTGAGTGGGGATGTTGGATTTAATCACCGTAGAAGGTACTGATTACCGAAACGTATCACAAATATTTTTTTCATTGTCCAAAATTATTGGGTGGGGGGTGGAACAGAGGGCAGACCAGATTTATGAGGGGGCAAGCCCCCCCCCCCCCTTGACGCCGCCACTTTTCGTACTACATTTGTGCTTTTAGAACCATTTTTATGTATTTTAAGGTTTTATTACTGTCTGAACCGATTACTAAATTATGGATATAAAAACTTCTGCTGGTTTTGTTAATCATGTGACAGGAGTATTGATTTTTCAAAAGGAAAGTTTTTTTTATGCTTTTGGGATGTCTGTATCTTATTTTGGCAGAGGTGATTTCATTTTTTATTTATTCACAGAAACTGGATTGGAGAACAGACAGAAGCCCATAGACCCCCTCTCCATAAAAGTACAAACATAAATATATATGGAAAAGATGTAAATAAAAAAAAGAAAAAATGAAAAGTAAAGTGGAGGATGATTAAATTATAAGATGGCTATATACACGATATGTACAAACCACAATCAGAAGATTTATATTTCATACATTTTCAAATTCTTTGGGAGATGTCGAGGAAGTTATGTACTACAAAACAACAATTTCTTCAGAATTGTTTCTGTCTTCTGGTCCGAATAATAAATTTTCAGAATTTTGATAAAATTGGGTGATTTCGAATGAATTATTTTTTTTATAGAAACACTTTAATTTTCAACTTGGCTCATACATACAGGAAGTAAGAATGTATAGCAATGTCCATGTAATGTTGACAGAAAATCAAATGTTAACTTTCAGTATTATCAACTTCTGAATCTTCATTATCTGTATCATTGTCATCGGTTTCAATGACTGGGGAGTCTTCTGTGTCTGAGTTATAATTGTTTTCATCCATAAAAGTTCTTGGTTCAAGTAATAGAGGGTCAGCAGAAACCGCAACTAGATTCCTTGGGTTAAAATATATATTCCATTCTTCTCTGAAATACCAAAGGAACAAGGGGATTGAATTTTAATCAATCACTTAGTTTTGACATACATTTTGTAGTCAATATATCATGCGTTTGAGAAATGTGTGGGCAAATAAAGAGCATGAATATAATTAATATGTAGACATATCAGATGGGATATCAATTGTTTCAAATTGTTTAAGCCTAAGTATTCACTGTACTTACCATTTCATGACCAGTTCAAACTGAAGTTAATATTTTAAAAAGCAGTAATGTTTGTCATTGTATTCAAAGGAAGCAAATTAATTCCTTACTTTGGGTGTTTATTAAATAGTATTGGAAGATATTCATCAACTGGCACCATTCGATGTAAAGGTTTGTGTGATAATAATTTATCAGCTCCTCTCCTCGACAGAATATAACCAAATGACCCGTATGAATAACTCGGCCAGATTAATGTTGAACTGCCTTTTACCTTAACTTCACTGTCAGGATCTAATTCGGTCCTACCCAGGTATCTAGGGAAAAAATAGAAATAAACCAAATAAACCTGCTGGATCAAAACATTAAAGATACTAAATGAAATGAAATGGGGTTTAACGTCCTACTGTTCTGTTCCGACTGGGCTAATGAAGACGGCATTAAGGATAAATTATGGAAGATTAGATAAAGAGCTGGCAGTTTATCATTATAATAGTTAAAAACTAGATGATGTAAAAGACTGTCGCGATAATTAACAAAGTCTTCATTATCCATTTTTGCGTTAATCATCAACGGACGTTGAACAGCAGATCGGATTCAAATCCAATGAAAATCGGACAGATAAGATGGCATCGAGAGTTGATTATGGTCTTGTCATGTTAATAAATGTCTAATTAAACATACATTATGCAAGAGCTAAATCTGCCTATTGCAGGTCTTTCTTTAGGCCTGAAATGTTATCTAGATTATTAATTAGACATTAATTAACTTATCCAGACCATAATCGACTCTCGATGGCATAGCTAGCCTGCGATATTTACTGGATTATTATCCCATTTGCTGCTCGACTTCCATTCATAATTTAATTAAAAAATGGATAATCGAAACTATGTTTTTTTATAGTACAGACCTTAGTAATGATGATCGAGGCTAGGCCGATATTTCAATCGCTCAATTCTCGGTTCATAGTGGATCAATTGGACTGAAATTTTCAGCAAATTGCCTTTACATGATCTAGTTTTTAACTACTTTAGGGAGAACTGCCAGCTCTTTATCTTATCTCCCATAATGTATCTTTAATAATTTATATAACACTTCAGGCCTAACCTTAATCTAAATATTAAGGCCACCTTGAGGTTTCGTCAAGGGCGTTGAGATGTAAATAGGTTAGAACACGTGATTGTTTGTGAGATTGTGAGTAAGGGTTAGGGTTAGGTCAAGGGTTAGATTTAAGAATTTGGGGGACTGACCGCAGAGCCTCAAGGAGGGTATGGAGTTCTCTCCCCCAGTCAGCTTTTAAAGTTTGAAGTCGATTTCCTTTTAAATAGGCCTATATAGGCTCTCTTCTGGGCTGTTTCCCGGGTCTCTCCTGTATAGGCTCTACATAAGGCAGATAAAGAAGATTGAATACCTTTCTGATAAAACACAAACAAGTGTACTACAAAATGGCAGCTAATTCAAAATTTGTGAAACAAACCGTCCCTTGAACTTTCTTGAAAAATAGGCCTACTTGTTTGTTAACATAAATATAGTTTTCCTGCCAGTGTGGACCTGTTTTCAAATTGATAATTATAAATTTAGAAAAGGTATCTTTATTGTAACTTTTCACCACTAAGTACTGTATCAGCAATATGGGAAAATACAAGAATGATTTCAAGTCAACATACAGCAGATCCCAATTAGGTACAAACTCCTCCACTTCTTTCATCAGTTTTGCTAGTTTACGTTTATAAAACAATTCCAATCGAACATCATCTTCAAATATTATACTTTTTTCATAATTTTTCGACACAATCTGTAAAGAAAGGGTAAGGAAGATCTAATACCGGTTGGTATTAATATAAAAGAAACAATTGATAATGATCTTAATGTCCAATGGCTGAAAAATAAATTTATGCAATATAATCCGATCGATAGACATGTAATGCAATCTGATTAAAACACAGATGCAATTTCGTTTCGTTTTTTATAGTTCAAAATTTCGTTTTATATGTCTTTACTACACTAGGATCACACTGATCAGCAGTGAATATTCGCTAGGCCGCAACAATCACTGATAAGGATGACATCAATGCGACTTAATAAGTCTCAAATATTAACTTTTTTCCACCGACAAATTAAATTCTAAAACATTTTTTTTGTTGTATTAGAAAAATAAATAAAGACGTTTGACGTATTTGTAGGTAAAAATTATTTCCTAATTAGTGTAAATGGGTATTAAAATAACTAAAAGGAAGCATTCTGCCCGAAGCAGTAACGTCTGATGTATACAATGCACGCGCCATTCAGCCAATGATTGACGCCGCGTGCTGTGACAGCACGTGTTGAAGGCAGTCATCTTTTACAGAGATATTAGAAGACTCGCAATTCTCTGTGAAACAGATTGAACTAGGATCTGGAAGAGTTGTTATATCACAGGCGTTTTGGTTGAAGTGAGGGAAAAGCCAATGAAATGGTCTGTTACGGAGACTTTTTGGCGTGCCATGCACGGAACTGTCGGTAAACTTCTAGAAACGTCAACGCTGATTTATTAATCAATGACTGACGTCATAGGGTCAAAAGTCGCTCGTACGACCCCTGACACGACCTTCGAGTACAACTTGTCTTGGATGATAGAGACTAGTCAGATCTTCATGTAGTGTAGGCCATAGAAAGTATAAAAAACGAAACGAAACGAAATATAGGCCTAGATCTGTATTTTAACCAGATTGACTTGTAATGCAACTAAATATGAATTAAATTGAAACCATTAATTTATGTCATGTCATTAAAAAATACCTCTCAAATGTCTACAAAATATATATGTTACCTCTTCCCAGATTCTGTAATGACTAAGAAAACAACCAATTTCTCCCATTGTTAAAACCCTGTAATAAAACCAAAATTCGTCTGTGTGGTCAATGCATCCAGGGTTGTAAGAGAAGGTGGGTGATATTTCCCAGGGAATAGATTTATGAATCATTGTTGTTTTTTATGAAGCTCGCCCATTATATTACTCATGAATTGCATAATTCAATACGGGTCACATTTTTTTCAATTTTTAGTTCAGTCCTTGACAACAAGAAACTGAAAGAATGCGAAACGTCAATTATATGTAACACATTCTTTGCTTGGCATTTAATAATTGAACATATTAACACAAAGACTAATTAACACGCGGTATAAATTTATGGATATATTTGCCTGCTATTATTATTTGCTTGATAAAGACGAAAGTATCCTCGTCGAAACGTCGCTTAGTATTAAACTCGGTAATTGCGTATCCATAAAATTGTACCTTGTGTTTATATGTAACACGGTTATAAATTGCTTCAACATGGTAACACGGTACCAACAGAGCAGTTCATGCGATGTAACTGGTATGCAGGGTGTCTGAATTTCTTAATCGTTTGCTACCATCAGAATTTATAAGCTGGTGATAATTTTAAGTGGATTGTTTCTCATCGTTTTCAAGTGGTGTGGTTATTGAAATAAAATTGAACCATGTTAGTCCCGAAATGACCTTGTTTGTGTCGAGGTCGAGTGGACGATCTCTCTCTCTCTCTCTCTCTCTCTCTCTCGTTACTTCCGGTCCGACGAAGTTGATAATCTCACCAAGTGATAGCGCTGCCGGTTTTATTTGTAATTAATAACGCTGTAAAATCACCAGAACCTACATAATCATCAAATAAAGCCTCGTTGGCAATTAAAACGATGGTAACGAGTCCCTTTGGTTCTTTTCTCTGCCGCTCGCGCGAGACACGACGAGATCTCAATGCCAACGGTAAACCAAGCGACGTGATTTTTGACATTGTGAGATTTTATTCAGATTAATTTATCGAACTCCTCCTTAGAATTTACGGTATTCTTATGGTCACACGACCCGATAAGTATTTCTATCCGGTAGTGACTAATGTCTCCAGTTTAGAACTTTGAAATTTCCAAATGCAGCAGTTAAAAATTGTGAAATGATAGATTTCAATATTTCCGTAGCTTTTGTAAGCATTTTGGTTTTGATTAATAATCCAAATTCCTGTATGTATGAAGGATTTTAAAATTATGAAAATATAGTTCAGGTATAATAATGTCCGGAATGATGATTGCAGAAGAAAAATTAAAAGAGTGTTTTTGTAGGTATGTTTTTAACGAAAACTCGACGTATTTCTTTGGGGATCCACATGGGCGTGACCGAAGTCCGAAGTAGACAAAAAGCGGGTGTGACACCGCCTCCGGGGTGGGGGGGGGGGCAGAATAAATTGTTGCTGTCTTTAGGGTATAAGGAATAAATATGCAAAGTTCCAAGATGATCCATACTGAATTGCAGCCTGTAGATGATAAATACAAAAATTGGGCGTGGCTTTGCCCCTGGGGGCTGGATATGGAACAATATAAATAGGCACCACCCTGTTATTGAAATTATTGATATGCTGAATTTGAACAAAATCTGTTAATTATAACAACCTGTAGAGCATTTGCAGACAAACAATTAACAAAAAAAGGGGGCGTGGGTCAGGACATGTACCAAAATAAATAATTGCTATCCTTACAGGAATGAATATGCCAAGTTTCAAGATGATCCATTCAGAATTCCATCCTGTAGACAAAAAAACCCACAAAAATTGGGCGTGGCTCTGCCCCTGGGGGTTGGATATAATATAACCTATGATAGACCATTCTTAATTGGATCAAATATGTTAATAATTGCAGCCAATATATCATTTACAGACAAAATATTAACAAAAGTGGGTGTCGCACCGCCCAAAGTGGGGGGGGGGGGGATCATGCACCAGAATCAATAATTGCCGTAATTAGGGTATAAGGAATAGGTATAGGAATAGGGGTCGGGACATGCACCAAAATCAATAGTTGTCGCCCTTAGCTATAAGGAATACATATGCCAAGTTCCAAGCTGATCCATTCAGAATTGCGGTCTATATACGATAAACACACAAATTGAGCGTGGCTCTGCCCCTGGCGGGCGGGACATGCACGAAAATCAATAGTTGCCGTCCTTAGGCTATAAGGAATATATATGCCAAGTTCCAAGACGATCCATTAAGAAATGTGGCCTGTAGGCAACACACAGACACACAAAGAAGAAAATGGATGTGGCTCTGTCCCTGGGGGTCGGGCAGTCACCAAAAACAATAGCGATCATCCTTAGGGTATGCAAAGTTTCAAAAGGATTTTTTAAGAATTGCGGCCTGTAGGCGAAACACAGACACACACAAACATTTGGCGTGGCTTTGTTCCAGGGGAGGGCATGTCAGAAATCACTTCGAGACAAGCCACTGAAGCGTGCACATTCGCCGTGTCGAGTTCAACTTTCAGTAGGGAAAATTTTGACTGCATGCTCCAGATGGGGCATCATATCATGGACCTAGTGAATAATGAGAGACCATAGCAGACGAAATGTTGGTGGTAGCTTTGCTCGTAGGGTGAATACGCTAAAGATGGACCACTAAGCATTGTACAACTGCACACCTTTAATTATTTTGTGGCTTTAATTTGCAGACTACACTATTACTAAGATTCGATTTTTAAATAAGACATCTCAACATTTAACGCAAAGCGATATAACAATATTATACTTGCCTTCCATGGTAAGGATCCCTATATCCAGGTAGCATCTTAATACCAAGACTATCCAGATACGTATCATTCAAGTTTCTTCACATAATATAAAGGAAAATTATAGGTAATAATAAATCTCCTCTAAAGTGTTAACAAGATTTAGTAACAAAGATAATTATCGAAGATAATTATTTAAGAAAGATAGATTAATAATACTCTGGTAGTGATTCTCGAACATGTGGGAAAATCAATAGGTGTCTACAATACAATGAAATATACAGCCGATATCAATTTACAACGGACAGATTATGGGTGTTGGCAATATACGGCCAACGTAAGCCGAAATGCTCTTCATCGAACTTAGTCGTGCCATTCACCTGGTTAACATCAGCTACACCGTGTTTGGTCATTTAATCTAAATTAGAAGCCGGGTTAAATATGTTCTAAAATTGTGACACACCGGGAATAGGGGATATAAATAAAATATCAGGTATAGCTGCATACTTACTTTTCATCAGAAGCATCAAAAAAGATGAAATCTATTCCAAGACCATATAAAGTGTTTCTCATTATTGTTTTTCTCTCGGGTCGACGTAGTAAATGTAGGATATAAATCTGAACAGAAAACAAAACACCAATTTAATCGAAATAAATGTCATGCCGATGAGCAGCGTCACTTACTAAATTATACAGTAGAGGCGATCTTAAATCTGGCATGCCCTCTCTTTGTCCCCCCCCCCCCCTCCAATAATTTAAAAAAAAAGAAATAAAATAATATTTGTGATATGTTTCAGTAATCAACACCTTCTACGATGAATATATGCGACCATCCCACCCAGTCATAGACTTGCATGTTCTAGAGTACTGGATTGCTTACCTAACCCACCCGGCTGTAAACTAGTTCAGCTCTGAACATAGGTTTCATTGCACACACTCAGTACGTTCAGGAACCGCCCTATGGACTCCTTGTTGATAATTTTTCGGCCCCCAGTCAATTTTACTGGACGCGTGTAAGTCCCCGTGAACGTCGGTACAATGTAAAGGAACAATGTAGTGAGAAAATAAAGCCTTGCCTACCTCGCTAGAGGCAGTGTGTGCGACACAGCATTCTCTTAAAAGTACGCCGCCTGCAGGGTATAGGGTAACTCAGAAATTTCCAACCTCAGCTATACAGGACTGACACGCGACCGTTTAACAGTAAAAAGATGCCCAGTAAAATTGACTGGAACCCGAAAATTCTACGACAAGGGGTCAATAGGGCGGTTTCTGAACGTACAGGGCGAGTGTAACGAGAATTTACGTTCAGAGCTGAACTAGCTGTAAACCTACTATAAACAATAACACGTGAACAACTCGAGAAGTGCTTTTCACGATCCTCAAAGTTTTGGAGTATGGATTCAACGCGGCGAGAAAATTCATTCACTTTGATTCACTCTATTTGTTTACACTTTCCTCTCTGGTCGGATCAATCAGAATGATCAGGCGACAGGCGGTTTCTGGTCAGCTCTAATTATCTTGACAATCGGTGCCTGAAATACTGCCAGACTGCATTTCGGCAGTCTATATTTCAAACTCCTCGGGGGGAGTCCTTATGTCTCACCAGAGGGATTCGCCAGGTCAATCTCTGCCACTGCCCTCGCTGCTATAGACAAGATCCTGCACACTAGCGAATTATTTATATAGACACATACCAAACGACCCTGTGTTGAGGGGATATTAACCCCCATTTTCACCGTAGTACCAATTGTCCTAAACCCAGGTATACCTCATATTATATATATCAATTATCTCTTTATAATATTGTGTGTCTGTTATAGAAGTTTGCACCAAATACTTCGGCGTCTAAAAGGTTTGATGATCTAGCAACAAGTTTAAATTCTTATATATAATTATGACCCAATATCTTACCTCATCAAAACCTAATTTACTCTGAGGTATAGGAGGTACATATACATGTTTAGATCTATATAATGGCGGCCCTTCCACTACAAATATATAATAAACAAATTAGATATTTTGGCAAATGGTATATTTCTCTTTTACGTCACCTATTGCAGGTTTTTGTTTTGACTTTAAATGTTTAGGAATTATTATTTAGACATTTATTCACGTGACAAGGCTATAATCAATTCTATTTTGTCTCATGTAATCCCACGGAACATTTTGATACCTGTTTCTTGAGTGTACTCGAGATGTGCGATAAACGTGGAAGGGGTGGCCAGTGGTGAACCTTGACTTACTCAGAAGTGGGTTAATCCCCATAATTGATCATATTGTCTCAGGGAATTCCTAGGAACATTTTAACACATGCTTCGTGGATGTACTCGAGAGAGAGACTCAACGACAGACATTATATGATACAGCGCGCACGTGCTAACCATTCGGTCATCGAAACCCCCTGTATGTACTCGAGATGAGCGTTAAACATGGATTAGGCGGGGCAGTCGAATGGTCACCCTTGACTTACTCAGAAGTGGGTTAACCCCATAATTGACAACTCTTAAGAAATCATATTGTTTCAAGGAATCCCAAGGAACATTTTGACTTCCGGGGATGTACTCGAGATGTGTGTTAAAAGCCTACAGGGTACCCCCAATAGGTCTCTCAGAAATGGACCAGTCCCCATGACGGGCACTAACTAGTTCTTTAATTTGATTCCAACAAGAACCATTTGACATTGATTTGGTTGTTGTACTGAAAAATGAGTTACAAACCAATGTGACCGCTGTCCCCAAAACATTACTTAATAGTGCGTTTTTGAGGGACCCTGATCACATATCTACTAATTCCTGGTCTCAACCCTTTCGTATTCGAGGTGTTAATTAAATCTTTGCTAGCTCCTGGACTATACACACACAACGTGAAGTCAGTGAAGATGTCACGGTATTGAAGACGAATTGGGGATGTCATATTAAAGAAGAAACAGTTACACATGCGACCTGTGAGCGGGAGCTTGTAGCCAATAAGAAATAAAACTATACAGAGAAGACCCGTATTTCAGCATCCGGGGTTGGGCATCACGTGGCTAAGTGGGTAAGACGCTGGCTCGCTAGCCTGGAGGTCGGGTGTTCGATCCCTGCATTGGCCGAGAAAGTTCATCCAGATTTTCCAGCGTGGTTTTCCCTTGTCAGTGATGCAGGACGGAGGGAATGACAAGGACAGATATCTGGTCGTTCGAATGGGACGAAAAACCGAGGTCCCGTGTACATATTGGCGTGCACGTAAAAGATCCCTTGGCAGTTGGAATTCGATATAAGAGTAGGCCGTAGCGCCGCTGCCCGGGCAAAATTTCCCTCATAGCCCACTGTATGGCGAATGCCCGTTTTTTATTAGCCCAGTTTAGGAGCAGAACAGTAGGACGTTAAACCCCATTTCATTTCATTTCATTTCAGCATCATGAAGTTAGCAAACATATTCCTAGTGCCAATAAGTACCTATATTTATGATCCTGCAGATTAAGCCATATTAATGCATAGCATATAGACAAAAGTAGAAAAAGTGTAAATCCACCCTGCATCATTAAATATGGTTCCATACCAGCTTCCGTAGCAAAATGTTTCTATTTCAGAGAATCAAGGGATAGATTACACCGGATTGCACAATTTCAGAATCCTCCTTTGTTGCATTTTTGAGATATACAAATGTATTACCGAAAACATTGTAAAAATAAGAGAAATTCCAGTAAGGGTTGGTTCATTGTGCACACGATTACTTCCAAACTAGCTTGGTGACTCGAACCCCCGAGGGCGTGCGCCGGGTGCGCCAATCACTACATTGGTTTTAGAAACTTCCTATGTTGCATTTTCGAGATATTACCGTAGACATTGTAAAAATATGAGAACACCCGGTGAGGGGAGGTTCACTGGACACACAACTGGATTAGGGAAGAAGTTTGTGGGTTGAATAAGCAAAGGGTACGCCGGACGCCCATGCTGCACCAAAAAGCACCCACACCAGCTTGTACTTGGTGGTAAAAGATTTTTTTATTTCACGGAATTAAGGGATGGATACCAACTGGACGATAAAATTTCAAAACCTTTTATATTACATTTTGGAGATATATTACCGTAAACATACTAAACATACGAGAAAATAGGGTTAGGGTAGGTTCATTGTGCACACAATAACTTCCAAACTAGCTTCGATGGCTCAAAGACATCGCCGAATTAACAAATGAATTAGGTATGAACTAGTTACTTTAGTAACGTAAATTGTATCGGCTCTGCTCTCTACTACGTTACTGTCAGCTCCTAATGACAACTACATTGTAGTATGAAAATAAGTCTTTTCCCTATCTCGGTTCTAAGGCTATTTTGGAACCCTTACCGTCTATTTTTCACTGTGATTCTTCTTTGGTCACCAAAAGGAATCATTTCTTGTCACATCCAAAACAAATTTATAAAAATCCAACACTATTTTCATGTAGAATTACGCGATACAAAAACATAAACAACTTTCATTTGAATTGGGCCGCCATGTTCAAACTAACGCTCAGCCAATATTCCAAATGTAGGTATGGTATTTTACCGTAAACGAAAATTCGTGCTGTACATGGTCACTAAAGTTTTTTTTATTCAATATACATGAATAATTATTACATAAAATCTATAAAATAGAACAACACATTATATTGACCTTTATAAAATATTTTAAATATTCTATGTGTTATTCTCATGTACAGCGCGAATTTTCGTTTACGGTAAAATTCCATTCCTAAATTTGGAATATTGGCTGAGCGTTAGATTATTGGCTGAGCGTTAGTTTGAAAATGGCGGCCCAATTCAAATGAAAGTTGTTTATGTTTTTGTATCGTATAATTCTACATGAAAATAGAGTTGGATTTTTATAAATTTGTGTCAGATGTGGCAAAAAATGGTCCCTTTTAGCGACCAAAGAAGAATCACGGTGAAAAATAGACGTTAAGGATTCCAAAATTGCCTTAGAACCGAGATAGGGGAAAAGCCTTATTTTCATACTAGTTGTCATTAGGAGCTGACAGTAACGTAGTAGCGAGCAGAGCCGATACAATTTACGTTACTAAAGTAACTAGGTATGAACATGCCAACATTCAGTAACTTTGTATGTTGAATTACCTGATTGTTTACCATGTTTACAGTAATATATCTCAAAAATGCAACATAGGAAGGTTCGGTAGTTTATTTATCCCTCGATTCTGTGAAATAAAAAAAAAGAATTTTGCCAACAGAACTGGGTTGAATTCTTTTCTAATGATGTGGATTAATAGACGTGTCATTTGTTGCGTGCCCAGTTAGCGCCCCTGTGCAATATTTTAGTATGTTTACAGAAATAACTTACAGGTTTTTAGTTTTTAAATTTTGTTTCAATTATGCATTAATTAGTCTTAAAATGTTTATATTAAAGGTAGCAATTATTATCGTGATAAATATATGATTTATTGGCGCTAGGAATATGTTTGCTAATTTCATTTCAAATCCGGTTGCTGGAATACTGGTAAAAGATTCCGCTCGGTAAATCTATGGGTTCTAGTCAAAAAATGGCAAGGTTAACTGTTAATGCCAAACAGCCAAAGTTAGTAAAAAAATAATTGCAATTATACAAACTTTATATGAATAACTTACCCATTGTTTCATGTCTAGGTATGAATAACTTACCCATTGTTTCAATTCTAAGGTAAGCAAACTGCTCAATTTCTTCCCCTAAAGAATATTGACTATCTAATTGCACCATTACTTTACCAAAATATCTTGTATTTAGAATAAACATTGATATTGCTGCAAAATAAAAACCTCAACATTTCTAATTAATGGAATTACTTCACGGTAACATGTTTTAAATCTTCTCATGTCAATCTTTTGGAAATTTTCTGTTCAATTTGTCTTTTGAATTTCTTATATGCTATATGTATTAAGATCAATGTTCAATGGATCTCTAATCAATTTACAGTTGGCGTGTATGTAAAAAAAATGTTGAAATTCGATGAACACCAAACCTCTATATTACTTGGGTTGATACAGACAAGTGGGACGTCAAACCCCATTTCATATCACAAATTATTATTACACACGTAGAATTACCAACCTGCGGCCTTTACAGAATGTGCAAATATTATAATATCATTATATGGTCCGTCATATCCAGGCAATGGAGGGGTGTACGCTATATCTTGAGTAATACTACGCCGTATATCTATTAAAAGAGCTGAGTGTAGTATGGGAACAGGGAAACATCCACGAATTTCCCAGTCAACCATTTTCAAATATTCTTCTGTTCTTACATAATAACCCTGAAATTAAAATGTTACACATCTCTTAAGATTTGATACATTTGCCTAAGCTCGCAGCTTTGTCACTCGATATTGTGAAAGAAAACTTTTAATTTCATTAATTTGGAAATGAAACAACGTCTCCTGCACTGTAAACCCAGCGTCCACTTTTAGAACACCAAATACGCCATTTTAGAACACTATTTTGAAACAGATTTTGAACACTCTTACGCGTCTTTCTTCTATCAGAACACTATGTGTTTACTTTCAGAACAGTATGTGTTCAGTTTTAAATGGGTTTCCCTCTGGATTTTAGAACACTTGTGACGCGTAAAATGTGTTCTGTTTTTAGAACACTATACGTTCAACTTTTCCCCCTTGGTCTTTCAACACATCGGACGCGTAAAACGTGTTCTTTTTAGAATACAATAAGGTGTTCAACTGCATGAAACAGATAATGAACACTAAAAGGTGTTCGGTGATCATATTTTGAACACCGTTCGTTCAGAATTTCACACACAGAGGGAACCAGGCGTTCTAAGCAGACACCGTATGTTCTGTTGTGAAAGACTCTCTGAAATTTTAACAAACATGTTAAAAAAAATGGTTAAAATAGACTCAAATGATTTATTATTTCGTATGATAAAAGCATGGCACAATTTAAAAACAATTTGAACATAGTTTACAAATTTATTTTATTTCCTTAATTTTATAATACAACATGGGAAGAGATAATGTGACAAAACATTGTTTGCGTCGATATTCTACTATGCCCAATTAAAAAGATCACCTATTATAATAATATCCGAATCTGAATGTAATATTATTGGCAAGTAAAAAGTTATCTGTGGTACACTTGTACTGTCTTCTAGTTCTACGTTTACTTGTCGTTCTTCTCTCTTCGCCTGCACACCATCTAGTCGTTAGGATGGGTCTTGGCGCCAGGGCTGTCATTTTGGATATTGTCACAAGAATAATCCACATTTTGAAGACTAGAAGGCTTACTCAACACTTTCAACGTGTATAAAATGTTGAATAAAATTTTATAAACAAAACTGAATTCTCCTTGTGACATTTTCTTCTCGAACTACCCAGACACAATACTATATAACACAGGGACATAACTCTATGAATAGGGACTATTAAACCGGAAAGAGGGAATCAAGTAGTCCCACTCACGTTGTGAGACATCAAGTAATTATATCATATTCATTTTGAAATAAATAACTCCAGTGTATCCCCCACGTATTGTAAATAAAATATAAAAAAATAAATACATGTTAACGTATTGTAAATCAAAAATCAAAGTAAAAATTCCCGTAAAATATTATTGTTTATATCGCGTGTGTCTAGTTAATCGAGGTGCGCCCGATTGAACAAAAATAGTAATACACGATAAAAAGCAGACGAGATTGTTTTCTAACGAAGATTTCTAACGTAACAAAAAAATAACAATTAAAATGAGTGGGGCTTCGGAAGTCACTGTCAAAAATTGGCTTCAGACATAAGACCTAACTAAATGTCTACATCACATTTACAAACTGTCACAAGCACTTGTGGCAGTGCTAAAAAAATCTAAGAATAGTCAGAATGGAATCTAATCATATTTGTTATGAATTAAAGTAATATCTTGTTATTTAGGTGTTTTACATTGAAACTGAAAAACTGCTAATCAATTTTTAAATTTGCTAATCAAATTTGGCAAAATTGTACTTTTCGATTAGCAGTGCTGCTAATCAACTGTGAAAAATAACCGACAGCCCTGCTTGGCGCGCACCTATAACTCTTGGCAAGAGTAGGCGGAAAAGCCACCGTCTGGGTAAAATTTCCCTCATTGCACACGTGATGCTTGTTCGTCTTCATGAGCCTAGGAAGATAAATTCCATTTCATTTCCCCACCTGCAATATAAATATTAACACCAATTAAAACCCAGGAAACCGGTATAAGATATATATTGGGGGTGCAAACTATGTGTAAAGTTTAAACTATGTTTTAATAAATGGATATAATACCTGAGCATATGAACTTACCGTTTGAACGAATCTGCAACAACATAACTCTTTCTAGAAGACTGTGCAGTCCATTCGGCTTGTACCAATTTTATTTTTTCGTCGTCTTCTGTTACCGTGCACTATTATATTAAGGAAAAACAAGATGACTAATTATTATAATAGAGGGTTTTAACGGCCTACTTATCTGCTCCGACTGGGCTAATGAAGACGGTTAAATAGACCATTCTACTAGATAAAAATATTCTATCGAAAAATGGCTTAATACACTATTATATTAAGGAAAAAACAAGATGACTAATTATTATAATAGAGGGTTTTAACGGCCTACTTATCTGCTCCGACTGGGCTAATGAAGACGGTTAAATAGACCAGTCTACTAGATAAAAATATTCTATCGAAAAATGGCTTAATACAGTAATATTTTTGGATATATAATAGACATCAATATATTGAAAATCATAGATGTGGACAATCGATTGAGTCTCTTACACCTTCCTTATCTGTCGCGTCTTCCATGGCCCGGTTGGTGCAGAAAGGTAGGAAGTTAAACCCCAAGGTCAGATGATTATTAATTTTGCATACGGTGTTCTGTATACGTAACAGAATGTGTTCTGTATATAACAGAATATGTTCTATAAGGAACACCACGTGTTCAAACAAATGGAAGAAGAAAATAATTTGTCAAATTCGACCAAAAATCTCTAATACATGCGCTTTTTGATAAGAGGAAATAATTTATTAACACAAATTAATATGCTTGACGAGGGTTTACGAGTTGATTTGGGAACACAGGTCTAGGGCCAGGCCTAGTAGTTTATACAAGGCTATTGTTAATCTAGAAACATAACCTAAATTCATATTTCTACTTCCAAATTCATATATCTAAGTTTCCCTGTTATTTTTGAAACAACTTGTCTACCTTATTAGAAAAAACAACAACAATACTTTACCTTAAATAACAGTTGTTGAAACAGTTAGAGCCTTAAAGTCAAACCAGCGTCCTGCAAATGGCGATTTTGAAAATAACCCGCATCACGTGATGCGTCGTGCGCATGTCCGATGTTGAACTTGAACACATGATTTTAAGGATTTGCGTACGTTTTAGAACTGCGGTGTTCATATGTGAACATTAACGTGTTCACATTTCAACGCAAAATGTTCTAATAAGAACACATTCAGACGCGTTAGGCGTCCGTTGGATTTACAGTGTGGAAATACGCCACACTTTTTACTTGATCTGATAGATCACAATGTCTATAGGTTTTCTTCTCTATGTATTGTTTGTTCTTTAGTTACGATCCGATAAAAATTCATTTTTGAAACACATGGAAAGTGGCTCACCTTTGTATCTATCCCTTCCCAGAAGTTGGAATAATATCCCGTGTCACTGGCATTAAACATCGGTCCTACTATTATCCTCAAATTACAAACAAAATTATTCCCAGACATATCATGTAGTAATCAGCCACGAATCAGATTAGAATACAGACCTAGAATTGGCTGATTTTCTTTAACGTCTGATTACACCGACAACATTATGTGACCGCTTGGGACGGAGAGCTACATGAGTAGTCATTTAAAGATGCATTATGTAAGATTTAGATAAATAGCTGTCCGGTCTTGCTATAATAGTTCAAAATTAATATATTAAAAATTTCATTCAAATTAATTTATTCTCAGCGACGTTATCACTGTTCATTGTTTTGTTTTGTTTTTTGTTATCTATGCCGAGCATCGCTTCTCCACTTCTTAATTAAATCATTAAATAGCGTTCGTATTTTAATCCGTTTACATCTCCGCCATCCGATATTCTAGAGAGTTGATTATAGCCTTGTTGCGTGAATAAATGTCTAAATAAAAATTCATAAAACATTTGAAGTCAAATAAAATCCTGCAATACGCAGATTTAGCTCATACATAATGCATATTTAAGTGGCACCCATAAAAATTAGAGGAAGCTGGTGACCACAGTGACCAGTAAAGGATTAATTGTATGATATCTACTCATTCTTTATGTTCCACGAATCTGCCATCACAGAACAATGCTACGACTAGAAGTTTAAATACTGCAGCCACTAGAACAGGCGTAAGTATGTTGGATGATGTTAAAACCTACATGATTGATATGTTAATTAATGAAAGTTAAATAACGCAAAGGATTGTTTCGTTTTGTTTTGCTGTAAATCTTTATATCAATAAATAAAAGATATTCACACAGCAGTAATGCTTCGACGGCAGCTTATCCGACAGGAAAACCTGTCGATCAAATTTAATATAGCGGCAAAGGGAGATAAACCTGAAAATGAGAGTCACAGAATGCTGAACATCAATAGGACACAATGCTTTATTCCAAATTTGAAAAGAATCCGTTAAAAACTATAGCCTTTATTGCGTTGACCATGTTTTCCGCAAAGGGGGATATCCCTGGAACGGAATATCGAAGAACGCTGATTATCGATAGTGTTCGTCCCTTGATGACCCCAATGCTTTCAAAAGCACCAATTAGGAACTAAAGCCTCTATTGCGTTCACATGGTTTTCGGAAGAGTGTGTATAACTCTGGTACGAAAGGTTGGGGAGCGTTGAATATCGACAGGGTTTTTCCTTTCATGACCACAATGCTTCCGTCAAAAACGGTAGCCTCTATCGCGCCCACAAGCCAATTAATGACGGGCCGACGAACCAACACAATGGGCATGTGAAAGTGCTTTATACAATATCACGTCTATATAAATTCATAGAACAACAGATACTTACTTATTTTGATCCATAAGTAACTGTAGTGTCTTGTTATTTTCAATAATCACATCTGCATCAACCATCTAAATGATAGATTGACTAGCCATGAAGCATATTAAATATTATTCTTTTGTGGGTAATGGGGGAATTTACAAGACATTAATCAGATTGCACTTTGACTAGCTTTAAATAATTCTTTGTCAGAATCTACGTTTTTATTTTCAACCATATTTTCCACAAAATGACTTGCTCGGATCAGTTCGTCGTCCGCATCGTTTGAAAACATTGCTGATTTTATTATATATCTTTTTCGACTATTAGGGCTAGATTAGACAGACGTTAAGTAACTCTAGCTCATAGGCCTAATCTGCATCACTTATCTTTAAGCAGATAGAAATAAATTTTATTTCGTTCCAGTAAATCAGAACGTATATTTTCGAATTTTAACGAAGCCTCCTATCTCGATCAAAACGACGCATTTTTGGCATCTACCTCTAGAACGACCACAAGCTTGTTCACGACGAACTGACGGACCACATTTCATTGTTTCCAAAACAAAGCAAACAGTTCTGTTTGTAATATTTGAGATATCATGAACATGTATTTTATATGCCCTTATCAAAACTTACGAATATATAATCTGCCATTATCTTTCTGGCATCTTCCAGGGCTTGTTGTCGAAGTTTGATGACCTTTTCATATCGTTGTTTCGACCAATCATTCGGTGACTTTTCATCACTATATCCTACATATATTTGATAAATATTTCAATAATTAGAAGAACAGATTTATATTCAGGAGTTCGGAATTATAATTACGAAGAATATCACTATAACATGGTCATTTTCATTTTTATACGGTTACATTTTCCTTAGGACGTATATTGTCGTCGCCCCTGTCCGTCCATAAATATTTGTGAACAGTCTACAGGTCACAATTTTTATCCGATTTCAACGAAACTTAAAATATAGGTATATCTCCCTAAGATCGCGATTCCTTTCGATATTGGCATTTATCGGGCCGTAACTTCATGGATTATGGCCCCCGATTGTACGAAAAATCGCGTTTTTAGCTTGTGTACCCTATAGAGGTCATAGTTTGTATACGCCCACATTTTCATGTGGACGTATATTGTCGTCGCCACTGTCCGTCCGTCCACAATTGATTGTG